AAGACGACGCAGTTGCCGGCGATGGAAGCTGTCAAGGCCCGCCAGACTCGTTGGCGTCAGGGCCCAGGTGCCACAGTTGTACAAAAGGACCGGGAGCACGTAGCACTTGTACAGCCGCACACGGTTGCCTTCCGAGATGAGGCCTCGACGCATCCAGATCTTCCACATGTTGTTGAACGCCGTTGTCGCCAGTCGCTTCCGAGCGCGCAGATCGGCCGCGTCGTCGAGGAGGCTGCCGAGCTTCTTGGTCGTGTGCCACGACAATGAGGCCGCGTGCGTCGGCGCGTCAACCTGCGTCGACCTGAATACCTGGGTTTCTTCCGTCTTGTCTTCATTCTCTACGCGTCTACCTTATATATAGTGGATGTGTATTTTTGTCAATATATTCGCGAATAAACTTCATATCTATTTACATTTATTGTATCATGCATCATTCGATTCATCGATTTCACTGGAATGTACTAGTAGTGTTTGAAGAGACTTTAAAGAGTTGTTTGAAGTGTTTCCAGGTGGCCATTTTCATGGCGCCCAAATCGGCACCAGAGCATGCCACGTCAGAGACGCAAAATGCGTTGGCCAATCCAAGGCCGTTGAAGATACGGGAAAGGATTTCATTGGACGACAGATTTGGCGCTGCCGACTCCAACGTCCTACGGCGTACAACGACGGTGTCCTATCCCAGGCATCCATTGGGTAGCGAGCTCGCATCTCCAACACACTCACTCTCGAAAATGCAAGCATCTGCACCCACGGTAGCCTCTTCGTCTCGATATACTACACTACGAACTCCAGGATCTCGCTCTCAGTCTACGAATGCTCATCATTTGCGCGCTAGTAGGCCCCCCCGACGGTCGCACGACTCATCTCTCTTGTAGGTACAACCGCCCACTGGTCCTCTCAGCGACAGTACATGTTGGTACTTTCAATCGAATTACTTGGTCGCAGGAGTTAAGACGAGTACGTGTAGGTCCGTAGATGACTCTATCTGCCCGGCGAGCTGGGATAGCTCGCCGGGCAGAGGTCGTGGCAACGTGCGGTGGTACTATATTCTTTGGTGCCCGCTGCAATATCATCAACCAGAGGCGACCGCTCTCACGACGCCATAACCCCGGGCCAGCTCCCCGGGCCCACGTCGTTATCCTCGCAACTCTCCATGTAATCACACAGGCCCCAGCCGTATACTTCAATGTCAATTGTCAATTTACCGAAATATCCGAAATATAGCTTTACCGAAATGACTGTATCAATTCACCGCAAATCCGTTCACAAAGTATAGTGCGTGCGTGGACACGCCAGGTACAATATCTGTAAACGAGTTTTGCGTGCTCGTCGTTGTAACAAAGACTTAGCATACATAGAGGAGGACAATTTCCTCGGGCGATTGGGCGATTGCTGGTCTCGCAAAGGTCATATCCAAGCGGTCGACCGCTTGCGAGGAAAGACGTCGTACCATAGATGCGACGCCGCTCACTCTGGGACGGAGTCGCCGAACCCTCCAAAAAATCTACCGGTTCTAGTAAAATTGGTGTATATAGATATAAAAGAAAGGCTAGCCACTTAGAGATAACACGCAAAGTCGGCAAGGATCGCATCGATCTGCGTCTTGGTCACGTTCGGCATGCAAATGAGGTGCGAGATGCCCTTGGCGGTCGCGAGCTGCCACTTGATCTGGAGCGCGTGGGCGACCTCGGGAAAGACGACCGTGATCGCGTTCTCGTTGCGCCACGCGGCGACGCCGAGGTCCTTCAACTTGGCTTCGGCATACGCCGCGTTCTCGAGTGCAATCTGGACGCGCTTCTGGAGGCCGTCGATGCCGAGACTCTGGACGCGGTACCAGAGCAGGAGCGGCGTAAACGCGTTGCGGGAGCCCGTGATCGTCGTGTCCGGGGCGCCAATGTACGCGACATCGCGCTTGATCTTTTCGACGAGGTGCTTCTTGGCGAGCACGACGCCGCACGGAATCGGCGACCCGAGGAACTTGTGGCCCGAGATCGAGATCGACTGCGCGCCGTCCGCAAAATCAAAGGCCGGGCGGGGCTCCACAAACGGGCTCATGACACCGCAGAGCGCGGCGTCTGCGTGCAGATACCGATCCGGAATGCCAAGGTCGTCGAGGATGGTCGTGATCGTGGCCATGTCGTCCTTGGCTTCGGTCATGGTCGTGCCAATGTTGCAAAAGACGATCGCGGGCACGTCTGCATGGGCGGCCGCGAGCTCGGCAAAGTGTGCATAGTCCATCTCGCCGTTCGACTGGACGCGAACTTCGCAGCTCGTTTGGCGCAAAATGTGGAGGTTCTTGACCACCGAGTAGTGCGTCGATTGCGAGTAGTAGACGATACCGGTCGGGTGCAGCTCGCGCGCGAGGTACATGCCGTACAGATTGCCTTCGGTGCCGCCGTTGGTCACGTAGCCCCAGACGTCGTCGACCGGTGCGCGCAGCAGCGATGCGAAGAAGGCGAGCACGTCCCGCTCGCAGTCCCGCGTCGAGACCTTGGAGATCGACTCGATGTACGGGTCGCCGACGTTGTTCATGGGGAACGAGAGGAACGGGAAGAGCGCGCTGTAGTCCCAGTCCTTGCACGACGGGAAGCCCACGAGGTGCTCGGACCGCTCCGAGACCGTCGCGTACAGCGCCTGAAGGCGCGCGGCATCCGCGGGCGGCAGGCTCGGCGCGTCACCGTCCGTCGACGAGGCGTCCGTGTCCGAGTCGTACTCGAGCGGCGTCTTGAGGAGCGCGTCCACGTCGTGGAAGGCCGTTGGCATCGTCGTGGCGTCCATGGTGCTTTGGGCGAGGCGGTGAAATGAAAAATGAAAGTCGAGCGCTCTGCTGTGTGATGGGAGCCATCGATTATCTGTCAAAAGCGCAGTAATACCGTAGAGCGGTTCCTGCGTACAAGATACTACTACCTAGTAGATATGATCGCCGCCAACGGAAAAGATGATCTGGACAACACCCAAGTAGCCGCTTGCGATTCGCTCGAACCACGAAGTTAAAGATCCCACTGCTGCGAAAACACGGGCCCACCGACATGCGCGGTGGGCCCTAACGCGCACGGTGCCGGGGCTCGCACCCGAGCGGCGTCGACAGGAGCCTTTGGAGCTTGGACCAGCAAGCCATCAACCCGCCTCGAAATGTCAAGCTACGGCGACATAGCTCGCGGCGTTATCGAGCTCAATCAGCTAGCGATACAAGGATGTAGACGACGTGGCACCGCTGCTTTGGGGGTCCTCGGTGTGCATACGGTCAAGACCCGTCACAGAGCACCCGACCCACTCGAAGTCGCTTTCGCGATGGCAACGACGCGATCGATTGCTAGAGTTACAGTCTGCAACAAAGTGGACAATACGACAATTCCAAGCGGGTTTTGGCCACAACTATTACGGTCGTCGGTGGCGCGGCCGCAATCGGGGATGTCACGCAACGTTGTATGCACGCCACACGTCACGTCTGCATACACGACGACACAAAACGGCGCAGAGACGATGCCAACGACGTTGAAGCGGCAAGACGGGGCAGCCAAGGACTCGATACGACGCGCACCGCCGGCCAACGTACTCGAGCCTGCTCGACAGCGTCGGGCCGTGCACTTTTAGAGCGTGGTATGATAGGCGGATTCCAGTGATCTGATATTCACCCGAGGAAGCCGCGTCTGAACCACCGATGGTGCGCATCCCCTGCATCGAATATATGATAGGTGCAGCTGTCGCTATTGACACGCGAGCTAGAAATATTGGGTTATTCATCCATCGCATCGAGTCTTTATAGGCTGGTCGTGCCTGCACAGAGTCGCTGCGCTCGCGTCACTGCAGAAAGGCCGAGGTCAAGCACACGCGACGCTGCACAGCTACTTTGAAACGAGCTGCTACTGGCTGCGACGGGCTGCTATTGGCTGCGACGAGCTGCCATGAATCTGCATCGGTCGAATCTGGCGCGTGGGGACCTGAAATCACTTGCCGATCAACTCTCAAACTGCCCGCTCTCACTGCCTGTTTACTAGTACAAATTTCAGGCCGTGATTGACTGGACCGACTTGGACGTGGGCCACTGGTTGGCTCACGCTCGCAGCGTACTCTGTACGCGTGCGTGCGTCCGTCGCCCGACAAGAAATGATAGTTGGAAGTGATCGCTTCCAGTTCCCCAAGAGGCCGATTGTCGCAAACGCCATTTTTGGCATAAGTTAGCGTGCCGTACCAGTATACTACAGTAGTACCAAGTACTAGTACCGCGTATCTCTACGACGTGTAGAGGTTCGCAATGGATTTTCCAGCGATCACCTCGCATCCTCGGCGTACAGTGGAGGGGACGACAGGCGACAAGGTATCGCCTGTCGTGGCTTCCTATAACTTGAGCTCCGAGATCGATGGAACCGCGTCAAGCAACTCGATCCGTTCTTGTCGCATCATCGTGGTTTCTCATAACCAGGAGGGTTGCTGCAAAGTGCCTTCGCATCATCGTGGTTGTTGCTGAAGTGGGTCGTCTATTACAATAGATAAAACTATGCTAAATAATATTATACGTAGAGCTCTTTCGAAAACTCAGTTGAGTTGAATCTGAGTCTCAGATTGTGTCGCACGAGTCGTAACTCAACAGTAACGTTAAAATATCTGGGCATTTTCTAAACAGCCAATCAGATCGCTTAAAAATCGGCCGCCGAGACTCAGATTCAACTCAACTGAGCTTCGATGAGCTCTAATCGAGCTCTCTAGTAGAGAATTTTCGTAACGCATTTACTTTTGACTTTGACTTTACTTTTGAGCTCTTCTTTTGAATTTCAACGAAGACAAAAACGCATATTTCGAAAGCCCGTTGAAACTCAAAAGTAGTTTGTGCCGGATAAATATACGGATACGAGCACGCGGCTGCCGCGGACGGCGACTAAGAGAGCGGCTCTACTAGCCCCAGCCCTCGCAAGCATCAGCAGCGGTCAAAGTTAAAGTCGATTCGCGGCGGGGGTCGCTGTATACAGAACAGACGATTGACGCGTAGATGCTGCAAGATGTGCATAACTCGCACGACGTCACCTCGGACTTTCTTCGTGATGTGTACTCGGTTGAGGAACTTGATGTAGGCAGGCGGAGGCAATCCGCGGGACGAGGTGACGTCGCGGCCACTCGTGTTGGGCGAGGAGCCGGAGAAGCCGACGAAGAGCAGGCTGCTCGGGCTGTGGTGCAAGTGCAGTTGAGCGACGCGTGCCGCCTTGACGGCAATCGTCCATGGACTTGGCAGCGGTAGGTCGGCGCGAAAGACGCGATCGTTCCGGACTCGCCAGACGTTGAACCAGACGCAGGCGCGGAGCACGGGCCAGAGGTAGCGGAATGCGGCTTGGTGCATGTTGGACGCCGTCTTGGGCGTCGAGTAGAGGAAGCCGGAGAGCGTAGTCGGTAAGGTCACGCCCAAATGGACCGTGACGGCGTGAAGCGTACTCCACACGTCCTTGATGAAGTCGCAGTCTACGAGATAGTGACGGTACGTCTCGTGCGTGGGGCAGAAGAGGCACGCTTGGTCGGCCCTGTCGAGCCAGTGCAAATGTGCGCGGAGCTTGATTGCGCGGAGCATCACTTGGTAGACGTAGTCGGCGTACTTGGGTAAGATGGCGTCGGGGAGCCGGAGCTCGGCTGCGGCGGCTACTCCCATCATCTTGGTGTGGAAGCAGACGGCACGTGAGCGCCAAGACGGACCTGTACAGCCGTAGCAGTTCGGTCCAGCTTGCACTTTCTTAGCCCCGATGCTTGCTACTACCCTCTCTGCAAGCCCGCGAAACGTACGACCATCTCTTTGCCCCTACGTCCGCGCGATCTGGCGCGCTTTTGCACCGATGCAGGGCATTTTGCAGATGCAACTCCCGTCGTCAGTCGCTGGCTCTCTCAACGACGCCGTCGCCGCACCGTACTCGGATCACAAGTCTGGTATTGTCTTTGGCTCCAACGCAAGAATCGCGTCTTCCGCACGACGCTGACGAAACTTCATGCTGCTGCGCTCACGGCCAAGGCCGCTACCATCACATGACTGCATGTCCGGCACTTGGCTCGTCGCGTCGCTCAACGCTCTCAGAGACGACCCTTGGTGTGCACGCTGCCTGGTCCCTCGCACAGTCCCGAGTCACGACCACTAACGCCTCGCTTGACGCACCGGCCACGCCTCACGAGCGCATTAGAAAGTCCACCATGTCTTTAAAATTGCATGCATCAACTCATTGCAAGAAAACGGACCTGTCCCGTACACGCGCATGATAGTGACGAGGTCGCCCGCCCCAAGACGCTAAAACAACAGAGCTGGGTTCATGTTCGTTTTGCAACCGGCGGTAATACGTGCGCCGACGCTGCGATGGCGGTCACGCACGGGATGCACCGGCAACTTGGTTCCCTCGGCTGTCTTACAGCGTGTCGACCTCAGAACCAGCGTGCCCTCTTGGCGATCTCGCCTCGAACACTCATTCGTCGTCGAGCCTTGTCGACGAGTGCCCGTCAGCGTCACCATCGACGCTTAGTGGTCTGGTAGCTTGTCCGAATGGCAGCTACGACTCTTTGCGACCTCGGCGCCGCGCTCAAATGACTAATAACGCGGCCGAACCACCGCGTCCACGACTACGATCTCCGGCCATTTGAGATGTCACGCGCGTTGTCTCTCTGAATTCTCTCAACTGTCGACCTCTGTTCTTCTCTTCTATGACTGCCATGTGACTGCCAAGGGGCAAGGTCCAGGTGCAACTGCTCTTTTCGTTACTTATCACGTCGTCTACATGTACACTATTGCTCTATGCGCACTCGAGGAGCTGGACGCGCTCGATCGCCGTGCCAAACCCCTTGGTGTCGAAGGCCGGCGCCGTCTTGGCCAAAAGCACCGCCGACGACGCCCCCATTTCCTTCAAGATCTGGAGGCCCATGCCAAAGATCGACTGCTTGGCCATGAGCTCGCCACTCACATCGACCAACGCTACAGAGCATCTCTTGAGTCCCAATGTCAACATGCCTACGCGAACGCACCTTCGTAGCCAGGTACAAACACCAAGACACCGTTGGCCTTCTTGGACGTCAACCACTGCAGCGCAAACTGCGCTTCGATGCTGCCGTCGATGCTGCCGTCGACAAAAAAGACATGCGCGCCCGTGGCCGCAATGGTCCCGACGACAAGCGCATCAAACCTACAGATTGTGAGAAATGGCGTGATTCTAGCGCCCGTCCCGTACCGCGTCGCGTCAAACGTCGTCGTGTACGCCACTTTACGGCAGGCGCCAAAGGGCGTCTGAAGCGGCACGGCGGCGCCGACACGCTGGATCACTACATCCATTATCGTGACAACTACGATCTGAGAGGGAATTCGAATTGTACATGTCTCGTGCGAAAAGCGGTAGCGAATCAAGTCCGAGATGGTGATCAAGTGCAGACCGTGCGTCGCCGCAAACGTCTCGAGCTGCGGCCGGCGGAGCATGCGGCCGTTGTCGTCGTTGATCTCGCAAATGTAGGCCGCCGGCGTGCAGCCGGCGAGGCGCGCAAGGTCCACCGCCGCTTCGGTATGGCCCGCTAAAGCCGCGTGAGCGTTCGAAGCACGAGATGGAATGGCGTACCGCGGGACAAGACACCGCCGTCGACGGCCAGCAGCGGGAAGATGTGGCCCGGGCGGTTGAACGACCGGGCCTTGACGCTCGGGTCGGCAAGCGCACGGATCGTGGCGGCGCGGTCGGCCGCCGAGATGCCCGTCGTCGTGCCTTCGTTGAGGTCGACGGTGATGGTGAACTTGCACTTGCGCACTTCCGTGTTGTTGGGCACCATGAGCGGCAGCTGGAGCTCGTCGATGCGGTCGCTCGTCAGCGGCGCGCAGATGACGCCGCTCGAGTAGCGGATCATAAAGGCCAGCGACGCCTCGGTCGCGAGCTGTGCGGGCATGATGAGGTCGCCCTCGTTCTCGCGGTCTTCGTTGTCCATGACGACGACAAACTGGCCCTTCTTGAGGCCGTCAAGGGCTTCGGCGACGGTCGACGTGCCAAGGTTGGCGCTGTAGGCTAGTTCAGAGGCGTGCACTTAGCACGGTCCTAGTATACATGCTTGCACTTACGAGTGGACATGGCGGCAGAAAATGCGCAAATGAACTTCCGGGGATCCTTGGCCGCCAAAGGTTGATGCAAACACTTTGTGGGCAATGGCCAATCCCACGCCAGCGTTCAGCCCATTGGCCAATCAGATGCGAGTGGTACCCGCCTCCACCAATCAAACGCGTCGGCAAACTCGCGTGTCGCAGATGGGCGTGCCACCTCGGGATGGTATTTTAATTCTGTGCATGTGTGCATGCTGATAACGATGTTTGTAAACGGATTAAAACCGCTTAAAATAAAATAAAGGATGACTCATCGCGACCTTCGCCGAACTTCGGGAAAGGCGCCGCCCCACGTGGCGATGCCGGAAGGAAGTGCTTGTGAGGGCTCGCGAAATCGGCTCGTGTCGGAAACCTATCAAGAGAGATAAGATTGTCCTCGCTGTCAATAAGGGAATAAACTTAAAGTAGATTCCCTCGTGTCTCACCAGTTGCAATTCACCACCACGGAGGGAGCATCGACTGCAGCTTGGAGAACGCAAGATCACGCGACGATCGAGCGAGGGCGCGATGGGAATGACTGCGGAGCGACCAATCCTAAAGAATGCAGGACAGTGAATAGCAACGTATACGCTAGAGCTCGTCTACCTCGATGCACAAGGGAGTCGCTTTGCGCGGCTGTGGAGTAGCCTCGACCACCAAGGCCAAGTATCTATGTGATTGGTGTCCCACTTGTCAAGTACCTCGTCGCCTAGACTTGAGTCGGCAGGACGCGTTGGTCCATGCCCATGGTCTCTCCTCAGCAGGTGCAACCCTCAAAAGGCAAGACACAAGGAAAGCTTGAGATTTTTAGAGTCTCATGAGCTTGTGACCAGGATGCGCCTTGTGAACGATCGTCGACAGCTCTTGCGCGGCAAGGGCAATGGTCGAGTGCGTGGACGGCGCTGCAAACGGTCCGCGGTCCACCTTGCAAAATGTTGTTGTCGGAAGGACGCCATGGGAAAAGTACGCGGTGACAAGGCCGTGAATGCACGCACTGGGCTGCGACGTAGACGCAATGTGGCCGTAGCCTTCGCGCACCACCAAGACCGAGTTGTTGGCGCCAAAGACGTTGTGCATGTGCTCAGCAGCGACCAAGGGTGTCACCGGGTCGTGGACGTTGTTGAGAATCAAAATCTTGTTGGCCAGAGTTTTGTTCCAAGGACCCGCAAACCGCTCGATCGGTGTCGTCTTCCAGTACTTGATCAGCATAAGGGTCCCGAGCCACGGCCCACCAAAGATAGGCGAGATTTTCTGGGCAGCGCGAAGACCGTCGGCCCAGCTCTGCGCCGTGTTGGTCGTCGGATCGATGTCGTTGCCCATGAATGGAATCCCGTTCAAACCGAGATCGCGCGCCTCGAGCTGCGACGGACACACATCACTTGCTGGTGGTGCCATGTACGTGCCTTGCATGAGCTGGTGCAAGTCGATCGCGAGCTTGGGCCACATCGCTGGCTGGTACATGGGGCCCAAGAGAAGTGTGTACAGGTCCGTGGACGTAAACTGGACGACGTCGTACCCACCACGGACGACTTTAGGAGTAAAATTTTGGATAAACGACCGCAGACGCGGCCCGAGTGGCGTGCCATGGCCAGCGAGAGGACAGACTAGCGGCCCCGCGGCTTCGCACTCGGCCGCAAAACCATCCAAAACGTCTTCGATGCTGGCGATCGTAGCTGCCCAAAACGATGCGCTTGCAATCGAATACTTGGTCGCGTCGACGACCGAGTCGATGACGAAGCGACCGACGCGATGCGGAAACAGATTGGCGTACGTCGCGCCGAGTACCCTAGTACGATGTACAAAACTGTCCTCTTCAGTAAGGACTGAAAGGGACGTACGTGCCGTAGGAGAAGCCAAAATAGTGCATGTGATCTTGGCCCAGTGCCGCGCGAATGAGGTCCATATCGCGTGCCACAAACGCCGTCGAGAGGTACGGGAGGTAGTCGCCGTCGTAGTGGCGGCAGCGCGCCATAGCTTGGTCGTACACGCTACCGTAGCGATCGACTTCGTCGTCGGAAAGTGAGTCATAAAACACACCACTTGAGGTGAAGAGATCATACTGACCCACCCACGCCGCAAATCCGCTTTAGCGCAGTGGATTGGCCGCGACTGGCCAACGCCACGCGGATCAAAACCCAAAACGTCGTACTGGCCGCCCGTGAGGAAGGTGGCCACTGGCGACCCCAGGGCCGTGCCAGACGCGCCGGGACCACCGGGGTTGAGAAGAATCGTACCGAGCGGTTTGGCCGCAGTTGACTGATAGCGCTGGACGACAATGTCGATGGTGGCCTCGTTGGTCGCGTTGAGATGATCGAGGGGTACGGTGAGGTAGCCGCACTGCGTGCGGAGATCCGGGTTTCCCGCACAAGGCCCCCAATGGAACGGGTCCGTCGAAGCAGCAGCCAGGGTCAGGACGGCGCTGACAGCGATGGCTTTGACCATGCTAGCGGAAGGGCAACCTTGTAATGACAGAATGTCGCATGACGTTGAAGAATGGAATGCTTGTGGGAAGTGCACGCATTCTTGTCCAGGGTTTCGTGTCCAATCAACGTCGTGGCAACGACGATCACGGTCGAACAACACTCCGCAAGGCTGCAGAATGCACTACTGCACTGCAGAGTGAATACCAGTCGGACCAAGTAAAAGTACGGCTCACGTGAGTTTATGTACTGCGTGCAAAGTCACTCGTTGGATTCGACTCGACGTACCATGTCCATTCGACGCCTCGTGTCTAGTGTGGACTGGGCGACGGTCGTGCTCTTTGAACAAGTAGGCGCGGGAGGGTTAACCCTTCCACATGTATGGTATAGGCCAAATGGAACCCCGTTGTATCTTGTCCTCGATTGTTGTTTCCTGCTAACGCTAGGACATGCAGTTGGTGCCGCAGGATGGGCTGGCACAAGGTGTGGCCTCCCATCGTTACTTTTGTTTGCAAAGGCCACAGTCCATGAGCATCAGCGACAACCACAAGCGACTCACTTGCACAAGCTCTATACCTACACCACCTACGCACTCGGCCGCACCCACGTCCAGACAACAATTCAATTACCGCCAACGTCCTGTTTAGCCACCCCGAGAATTGAACCGGGGTCGTCGCCGACCCGCACCCGACATTCGATTTCAATTTATGACCTGTTTGATTGGATGCGAGCAGTAGTAGTAACCTAGCCCTCCAAGTGTGCATCCCTTCCTCATATCTGGATCACTCACAACCGTTGCCATCGTCTCTGCTTGCTGTTGGGTTGCGTTGGCGGGTTGTGAGTGGCCCACGTCTCGACATGGGGAATGATTGTACACTCGTTGACCTTGGCACGAAGAGCCGATGTCATTTTCAAATTGGATCTGAAGGATTATGATCACGTTTGCCGTCTCGTCTGTGCAGCGCAATGCGTGTCGCGAGACACCATCCACTGCGTCGCCGGTCGCGAGCCTCAAGGCGTTTGCGAAAGAAGGCTGCAAGGACATAGTCCAAGGGACAAAGCTTGGGTCCGTGGTCGCCTCGGAGAGCGGCTTTGTGCGTGGTGTCATTGAAGCGTACAATGAGCATCTCGACCTTGTCCTTCGACCCGATGACATTTGGCTCGCGATTCTGATCCAGTTTGGGATGTACGTGGACGGCCACGCCGAGGAGCTCCGGTCGTCGCTCGTCAAGCATGACGGCCAGAAGGAGCTCGTCGTTTACGCCAGTGGGACGTTGTACTCGGTCGACATCGGCGCGCTATCGAAACAAATGGTCGACAAGATGGACGAGCACCTCGTGGACCCTAGCCTCAAGCACTGGGTGCTCCCGTCCTTCTCGACAACGACCGACCACGACGTCATTGTCGCCAGCGTCGTCCTCATGGCCACGATGAAAACGTACTTTTCGTACAAGTTTTGCCTCCGCTGCGGCATTCCGCAGGTAACGCTCCTCGGCACCGTCGGCGATTGGGAAGACATTCGCCGTCGCCTCGACGAGCTCGCAGCTTATGGCGAGCGCATGACGCAGTGGGCAGCGATGCTCGCACCCATCCTCGATCAGTTTGTCGCAGCGGCCAAGGGCCACGCAAACGTTGCGTTTTGGGACCGCATCTGCAGCCACCAAGGCGGCGGTTCAGGCCCAAGCTACCTCAGCGGCTGGATCAGCGTCTTTTGTGTCTTTAGTGACAAGGGCGAGTGGCAAGGCGACCATATGTCCGAGATGCGCTGGGAGCGCAAGCCCGATGCCGACGTGAACGGGAGCAACGTCGCGGACTATGTTGAGGTCCTCGTTCCCTATGACTATCCGCTCGTGGACATGGAGGACATTCCACCAGGGTACCTCACGGTCGACGTGACGATCGATGACAACGGCATCGAGCACAAGGCGCTCATGTTTGCGGGTCACATGGCGTATGCTGTGGGCGGCAACCAGACGTCGATTGCGCCGTCGCTGAGCTGGGCGATCGCGCTCAAGAACGGCGAGCCCGCACCACCGAGCAAGCGAGAGCTCTTGTTTGAGAAACGCGCCGCGCAACGAGCGCAGGCCACCGCTGCAAATGAGCACTAGTTCAATGTGTTGTCCTCTAATACGATGACCTTTCATGCAGCTCTACCATGGCACTCTAGACGCCACGCAGTAGGACTGTTAAGAAGGTGGCAATCAGGCTCTTCTCGCCATCATATTGGTGGCCACCGTAAGTGGTGCAAACGCGTAGAATCAAGTTCATTTGCTTTGTCGATGGCACGCTCGCCCATCTGTCATATTGGGCTCGATTTTGAACGAGTTGCGTTGCTGCTTGGCATGGGCAGTGACGTCAGAAATCAAAAGAGTTGCCAGTGGGCACAGGTTGACGTGAGTAAACACAAGGGTATACTATATACCCTTGGAGAGCGATACCTCATAAGTGTACGTACTCGGTATTAGAATTGATTGTGCACGACCAAGGCATTGTGCAGGATTTTGACATCTGTTTATAAATCCATGGTCCACTGGATTTTTTTGAATATTTTTATTTTGCCTGGTCACGCCGTGACCAGGCAAAATGAAACAGAGCTCGTCATTGACGGTGCGTTCTCGTCCATAATGTTTGTGTTGGGTCTGCGCATTCAAGCGAACAATAGACCATGCGCTCGTCAAGACCACGTGCACTCGCGTTGAGTTGGGACGTAGAGGGCACATGTCCTGTCCGAAGCAACGCTTGCTCCCGTGCAAAATCATCGTACTACTGGGTCGACGCCACATCAACATCTTGCATATCGCCTCTCGAAGACGGCTATGCGCCATAGACCACGAGTGCCCTTCATCGACTACTTGTATGTCCTATAATTTCAAAAGTCAAAGCCCCGCAAACCGTTCGACGACAAAGCTATCAGCGGCTGGGCAAATCGATGTCCCGATACGCAAAGCAATTGAACAAGGGACTGCGGCCGTTTCTTATCGCCGCGCTCAGACACACGGCAAAGCTCAAACAGGGTACTAGCAACAAATAGTCTCTTTATCTTCTATTGCGCTGCACTGTCAAAAAGAGTGGAGTGATGATGGAAAGACTGTCTGAGAAATCAACCAATCTCTTCATGAACGCGCTTGCATCGGTATCGTCTCCTAGTCGTCGAGAGCTCAAGTATCTTGATGGGCTTGCGGCCAATCACTGAACAAATGGACGCGGATACCATTGTTTCGTCCTCGCGACTACACGCAAAGCATAAATTCGCACCCACCGTCGTCAATCAGTTTTTGCTTTGCTCACAATTCAATTTGCCAGCATCCTCCTTCGACGATGGCACGCCTGCTCACGCTTGCAACGGTGCTCGCCTCGGCTCTGTCGGCCGACCCTTTCAACTGGCGCCCATGCCCCGGGGTGGCCGACCCCCAGGTGCAATGCGGGTCACTCGACGTGCCCCTCAACTACAAGGATCCGTCCAACCCGGCTACGATTGCGATCGCAGTGCGTCGGTACCGGTCCAGTGCTGCGCCACCCCTCGGTACGATTCTCGTCAACCCTGGGGGGCTCGGGGTGGGCGGGTCCCAATTTGCCAACGCGCAAATGGCCTTCATCCTTGGCGGGGGCTACGATGTCCTCGGCTTTGATCCGCGCGGCCTCGGTGCGTCGCGGGAAGTGAAGTGCTCGCGAGACGGTGCAACCGCAGCCAAACAAGTCGCCGACCTGCGCAAGCTCTTGGATCCGTTTGACGGCGAGTTCACCGACGCGCAGTTTCACCACTTTGCCGCGCAGTATGCACTCGCGCCCGCTCGCTGCAAGCGCTACAACAGCAACTACCTTCCGTACCTCTCGACGGCATTTGTCGCACGGGACATGGACCGCATCCGCGCGGCGCTCAACCAAGACCTCATGCACTATTACGGCGTCTCGTACGGCACGTATGTATACCCACCGTTGCACAACCAACACTGTTACGTGGACATGGGGGTAGGGTACTCGGTGTCATTTATGCCAACTTGTTTCCGAGCCACGTCGGCCGCATCGTTCTCGATTCGGTCGTCGATCCCAGCGTGTACACGGGTGCGACCCCCAAACTCCTCGCGACGGCCATCGCCGACATGGAGACGATCTTTGAAGCGTTTGGCGCCGAGTGCGAAGCGGCGGGGCCGGCCCAGCGACCGTACGTGGCCAAGAAACTACGCGCGCTCTTTGCTTCAACCGATGTCAACCCGCTGATTGTCTCAGGCGGCGACGACGTCACGCTGGTCACGGGCCGGGACTTGCGGACGGCCATGCTGCCGCCAATGTACGCACCGTCTCTGTGGCCGTCGTTTGCGACTTATGCGGCGGCCGCGATGCAAGGCAATGTCTCGGGGGTCCCGAGCGAGAACGTCTGCATCGTCGATGCAAGCAGCTCGCGCCTTGCAAACATGGGCTATAGCATGTACCTGGCCCACGACGGGGACCTTCGCGCTTCAGCCGCGGCGACATGGGCGCACGGGCTTCGCGCCGCCAAGAAAGCGTCGCCGCTCTTTGGGCCGATGTGGTTTTCCCTGGGCTTGCCAGCCAAGGCGTGGACGACGCTGCCAGTTGAGCGCTACGCGGGTCCGTGGAACGCGCGCCTCAAGAATAAGATTCTGATTTTGAACAACGAGCTCGACCCGGTCACGCCGCTCCGCAGCGCCAAGCACACGACCGAGCTCCTTGGTAGCCGCAATGCGGTGCTGGTGACGCGCCAAGGCTACGGACACGGCGCCGCGTTCTCGCAGCCGAGCAAGTGCATCCATGATGTCGTCGTTGGCTTCTTGAACAACGGAACCTACCCCCGTGTGAAGCATTGCAACGTCGATACCTCGCCGTTTGCGCTGCCACAAGCTCGTAGCGCGTTGGACGACGAGCTCATCGCTGCCACGGAAGCCGTTTCTGCCGACATTGTCGAGGTCATGCGTCTGCTCTGAGGGCTATATCGTCCAGCGCACTTGCGACCACCGTGAAGTTTGATAAAAGTTGATCGACTGAGAGCAAAATAACTCGGAGAACGACAACTCACGCGCGACCCGTCTCATTCCATGACATCGCTTCCAAAATGTCATGACTTGGTACGAAGCGCAGCACCAGAATGTACTCCAATGGTCGACTGATTGGGAGGAGTCGCAGTCGACGAGCATACCGTGCACGCAACGCACGACCAAAACTCGGCAGGTCGCTTCCCGAGAGTTGATTCCACTTGCAAGCGATGCATGCTCGAAGCCCTCGATGTTGCCTTGAACAACGCGCCTGTTCTTGGCGCCAGCGCGGATGGCTCCGTTCCATTCCGCCAGCGACTAGAGACGACGTGGTGATCTCGATCTCGGGAGGCGTCCAACGTGTTGTCTTGTAGTACATTATTGTCTCTAGATACGCACGCCTGGCACCACCGTCGTGATGAGCTACATCGCAAGGTAGCACGCATTACTCGCCAACGCGGTGAGTCGCTTGTCGTGCTCCTGTATACAGTGTCTTTCTATGTCGGTCAACACCAGTATCGACTAGAGTACAATCAAGTGGGTTTCTTCATAGCGCGACGAGATAGCTACTTCGACTTCTCTTTCCCAGGCATGTTGTCGAGAACAGCAGTGAGCTCGGTCGTCGGTGCGGCATCGTCCATGCGGAGTGCCTCCATTGAAGGAGACCATCCAGCGACGGCTCGATCCACGCGAGAATATGTCGCCAACCGAAAGCGACAGCCATTTCCAGAGTGTCGACGGGCTGTCGCTGCCGAAAAATGCTTGTCACCAGGCGTCGCGGGATGCGTCGCTCCAGCTGAAATGTCGGGACGAGCCGCTCGATCACGGACCGCTCGCCATGATAGAACGCTGCGGCCAGGACGCCTAAGACCACGCGCTTGGTTGCGTCCGGACCACTAAAGGTATTGAGAAGGCGGTGGACGACGCGCCAGTAGCCGTTCTGTGCAGCGAGAAGAAGCGGCAGCTGCTGCTGCACGCGGTCGCGGGTCGCGTTGCATGCGTCGGTCGAGGGCGCTGAGACGATAGTCCAGTAGGCACCATGTGGCTGGACCCAGCCATGGTCCAATGCAGCAAGCAGAAAGGATTCCCGTGCACAGCGGTTCTCAATGTCATCGAGGCGCGCCCAAATGCACTTGTGGCGAAGGGCCTTGGGCAGCGCCATGATCCGCGTGTGGCCCCACGACACCAGCATCGCGTCTGCGTCGTCGCTCCAGCAAGCCTCTTGAAACGCGATTGCGTCTTTTGTTTTGGATATCGAGGACGGAAGCCAGCAGTAGTGCGCTTGCTCGATGGCCTTGGCTGGGGACGGACGGTCGCGCAGCGCGCGCAAATGGTCGTCGCGCTGGGCATGCAAGAGGTACTGGGACGCGACGGGAAAGGCGGCGGCGGCGGCGAGTGCAATTTGACACGGTCGTTTGCAATAGCCAAGGATCTGGTCCAAGACCTCGTCCGGCAATGTGTGGAAGATCGTCATGCGTGCTGCCACGTCAATAGAAAACTGACGTGCCAAGATCGGCTGGCCACTTTACTGCCTTTTGATTGGCCGAATGCTCCACGCCGGCGACGACCTGTGTGGTATGGCCACGCGCCTCGTGGCAGGACCTCGCTTTTTTGGTATGGCCGAACGGATAAAACGTACTAGTATGTTGTAGCTACAAGAACTCGTAGCTCGACTCGCTCCTGCGCAGCGCCACTCGGACTTGAAAATGGGGTCGAGACGCCAGTGGGCCATATGGTTTCGACGTGGCACGCTCTCGTGGTGGCAAGCAAAAAGTGCAGAGTGCGTCGAGGCCTCGCATTGCACTTGTTCGGTCTCTGGAGATGATGCGGCGACGGGACGAGCCCCTTGCTACAGACTCTCTTCTATGCCACGGCACATGCCATCGCCGCCATTTTCTGTGCCCTAATAGCGCGTGGCGCGGCGAGAACTTCTCCAATCCAATTTCTGTCGTTTCATTCGAGGTGCAAGAAACAACACGATCCTCCAAGTCCAAAGCTCAACACCATTTTCCTTCTTTGCTATGGTCATTTGAGTTTGATCCAGTCATTGGCGCGGACCACACGACTCGCTGGTACAATGGGAGAGGCGCAGTATGGTTGCGTGTGACAGCGCTCAAAACGCTCGTCTGCGCAAAGCGTCACATACCAAGACGCAAGCATGGTGGCAGCCACGTCGTGCTCGTCGGCCCACGCCGTCTTGTCGAACCCGTGCCTTCTTTCCTGCATGACGCAGTACCAAGACGGGCTCTACCAATGCCTCCTCGCCTTCCAGGCGTCGTTTCGACTCATCGAACGGCCCCTCCGAAAAGGCCAGTTCCGGCGCGAGGCCCTTTTGCTTGGCACCGATGAGCTCTGCGCCGCGTTCGAGGGTCTTTCACGGGCGTCTCAAAACGAACTGGAGCTGGCCGACCTCGGTCTCTCGATCGCCAACCTCAAGGCGCATCGCTCGACGACGCTCTTGGTCGCGTGCATGGCAGCGGCCCTCGGCGACGTGCCTCGTCTTAAGCGCTACCATCAGTGCACGCCGCTGCCAGCGCGCGCCCTCGTGTCTGCAGCCAAGTTTGGTCACGATGCCGTCATCCAGTTTCTCATCTCGGCCATCGATGTCTCGTCCGTGGTGCATGAAGCCTTTTGCATGGCTGCGCGGGAAGGTCATTTGTCTCTTCTCACCCGCTGGGCGCACCACGTAGCATTGGACACGACCATCCGCGACGCGATCCGGCAGGCGGCGGCGCGCGGGCATCAACATGTGGTTTTTTACCTCCTCCGTCTACCGGGCGCGGACCTTGCGGCGCGGCATGCCATCAAGGCAGCCATCATGGACCGCCATATCGATCTGGTCTATGCGCTGGCGGCTGCGTTCCCGGCCGTTGTCACCAACTCGATGCTCAACAAGGCGGTCGTGTGCCATGACGTGGCGCTCTTGCAGCACCTCATGGCAACCTACGACGTCCATCCGACGGCGGGCGTGTGGCACTATGTCGGTCTTCGCCCGCACTTGGCGACATTGCACTTTCTACAGGCGCTCCATGTGCCGGGCGCGTCCAACGCGACTTTTGATCGCGCCGCAGCGCTCGGGTCACTCGAGATCCTCGCATTTCTCCATGCGTCGTACGGACTCGAAGGCACCGTCGACGCCATGACCCTCGCGGCCAGCGCTGGCAACCTCGACGTTGTCGCCTACCTGCACGAGCACCATCCACATGTGGGGTGCACGACCGATGCAATGGACCAAGCCGCCGACCATGGCCACCTTCCTGTGGTGCAGTATCTGCACACCCATCGGTGCGAAGGCGCGTCACTCTTTGCCATCGATGGCGCGGTGGCCAGCGGACATTTAGATGTGGTCCGCTTCCTCTGTGACGCGCGGTCCGAAGGGTTCTCGCAACGTGCGCTGCCCGTGGCGCGACTCTACGGCTACGATGCTATTGTGTCGGTGCTAGAAGCCCATCAAGCGCGTCTCGAGAAGGTCGACGATCGGCCGATGGGTCCATGGGTCGGCTACGCAGTCTACGGCATCGAGTTTTAAGCGAATTGATTTTGGCCTTGTACGATGCTCAAGTACATGTAGTACTCGATGGACCGCGAGCCATTGAGCGGGTTCGGGTCGACTTGGCTCAAAGCAAGAGGACAATGGAGCCGCCTGTCGACGCACCGCGTCTCACTGAACCGCCACAACTCAATTTACGCCTATAAGAATACCACTTTCTGATTGCTGACTTGACCTCGACCTCGACCTCCTTGGGGGCCTCCGTCTAAGCTTACAACAATGACCCTTGCTTTCGAGATCTCGAGATGGCGACGGGGTTGGATCCACGGCTGCTCTACGAGCTATCAAGGGTCTATGAAATAGAGTTTTTATTTACCCATGGAGCTATGGAGCTATGGAGCTATGGAGCTATGGAGCTATGATGGGAGCGTTGTTGGCCGAGAGTTTGCCGTCTCGGGCTACTGCTTCGAGGTCCTTGGCCCACGCTCATCATCGAGGCCGAGGTTGTCAGAAGCGCTTCGTCAACGAGTTGTCTAGAGTCTAGTGGTTGCGTTGTGAAGGAGTTGTATAGAATTTAGTGGTTGCGTTTTGTATCAAGATAGTATCAAGACACGACGGATAAGGACAGCAAAGTACAGGGTATGTATATAGGAGATTTAGACGAGCGGGCCAAACTTGGAGTAGTCGGTGTGGTCCTTCGAGATGTACTTCTGGAAGTTGGCCTTGAACATGCCAGCGAGCTTGTTGGCGGTCGCGTCGTACGCGGCCTTGTCCGCCCACGCGTCACGCGGGTTGAGGATCGAGGGCGAGATGGCGCCGAGCGTCTTGGGCGTCGCGAGGCCAAAGATCGGGTCCGTCGTGAACTCCGACTTCTTGATCGAGCCGTCGAGGATCGCGTCAATGCAGGCGCGCGTGTCCTTGATCGACATGCGCTTGCCGACGCCGTAGCCACCGGCGGTCCAGCCCGTGTTGACGAGGTACACATCCGACTTGTGCGTCTGGATCTTCTCCTGGAGAAGATCGGCGTACTTGGTCGGGTGGAGCGGGAGGAACGCGGCGCCGAAGCAGGCCGAGAACGTCGCCGTGGGCTCCGTCACACCACGCTCGGTACCGGCAACCTTGGCCGTGTAGCCCGAGAGGAAGTGGTACTGGGCCTGGCCCGGCGTGAGCTTCGAGACGGGGGGAAGGACACCGTAGGCGTCGCACGTGAGGAAGATGATGTTGTTGGGGTGGCCACCGCTCGACGTCGGCTCGTGGTTGTCAATGTGGTGGATCGGGTACGAGACGCGACCGTTCTCCGTCTTGGACGTGTTGTAGTAGTCGGGCTCGTTGTTCTCGGTGATCCAGACGTTCTCAAGCATCGCATCGCGCTTGATGGCGCGGTAGATATCCGGCTCGTTCTCCTCGCTGAGGTTGATCGTCTTGGCGTAGCAGCCGCCCTCAAAGTTGAAGATGCCTTCGTCGTCCCAGCCGTGCTCGTCGTCGCCGATGAGGTAGCGGTGCGGGTCGGCCGACAAGGTCGTCTTGCCCGTGCCCGAGAGACCAAAGAAGAGCGCGGTGTCGCCGTTCTTGCCCTTGTTGGCCGAGCAGTGCATGGCCATGATCTTCTCGAGCGGGAGCCAGTAGTTCATCATCGAGAAGATGCCCTTCTTCATCTCGCCACCGTACCACGTGCCACCAATGATGGCCACGTTCTTCTCAATGTTGAAGCCGACAAAGACTTCCGAGTTGAGGCCGTGCTTCTTGTACTCGGTGTCGGTCACCTTGCACGCGTTGATGATCGTAAAGTCCGGCTCAAAGTTCTCGACTTCTTCCTTGGTCGTCGCGCGGATAAACATGTTGGTGACGAAGTGGTGCTGCCACGCGAGCTCCGTGATGATGCGGACGCGCTTGCGCGAGTTCGGGTTGGCGCCGCAGTAGCCGTCAAAGACGTAGACCTTCTCGGCAGCGTTGTAGTGGTTCTTGACGACCTCGTGGAGCTCGTCAAACACCTCGGGCTTCATCGGCTGGTTGATCGAGCCCACCAAATGTTGTCCTTGGACGGCGCCTGCTCGACAAAGTACTTGTCCTTGGGCGAGCGACCGGTGAACTTGCCCGTGTCGACCTTGAACGTGCCGTTCTTGACAAAGACGCCCTCGCCGTTCTTGAGCTCGTGCTCGGCGATCTCGGCGTAGCTCAAGTTGCGGAAGACCTGGCCCGTCGTCTTGAGGCCCACCTGCTCGAGGCTCGGGAGGCTGCTCATGGCGCGCACCCACGTGCCGGCGTAGGGCTGCTGCTTGGCGGCGACGGTGGCGGCGCGGCGGAGGACAGACATCATCGTGATGCGGAGGATGCGATGCGAAAGCGGCAAATCCAAAAGTGAAAAGTGGGGTCGGCAGCCACAAAGCAAAGATATCCACCTCTCAGATCGGATAGTATAAAGTTAGACGGGGAACGCCCCGCGAGATCCGGAAAGTATAAAGTGCGAGAGGTGGGGACCCGTGACGAGTCGGACCGCGTGGCTGATTGGTTCGTTTTTTGTGACGACGGCGCGTCCTTCCTTGCGTTTCAAGCGCAATGGCCAATCACGGGACGCCGCCACATCCTTCAAGCTGTCAAGGGTACAAGTGCAACCAGCTTGCATGGGTGTGTCCCAGGTGCTTGGACAAGATGCTAGACAGGGTATAGAGGGAAAAGACTACAGTGCGATTCGGCGAGGATCAGCCCGGGGATGGCACGCCCATGATTACCAAGCGCCGCGCCTCAATGTGCGCATCGTTTTATGGCGTTTGATTGGGTTTTTTCCCGTCGGATTGCGCAACGAGTTGAAGTTGGTAAGGCCGTCGCCAGCTTGAGCTTGGTCGGGCGTCGTCGATCTTTTGTACTCTTGGGTGGCTTTCCTATGCACGGTCTGGCGTTGCAAGACCACGCCAACCGGCGTTCGACGGCGCTGAAGCACCAGAACGCCCATGCACGCCCCTCGATTTCCTTGGCAGAAGCGTCCATGCCTCGTCTACGGTGTACATACAACAAAAGCACTGGATCGGCAAGGGGATATGCCATACACAACATGCCTCTCTCGGTGCCTCTACCTGCCTCTCGACCAAAAGTATCCTGTGCAGGATGTCGTCAAAAAAACGCGAATCCAACGCGGGCGTTTTTTCCGCTTGGGTGCCGACGACGACGACAGGGGGGAAGTGAAAGGAAGCCAAAGACACGAGTGCTACACATGTATTCCCAGAGGTTGTGGACGGTCGCATCGAACGTGTGACCAGCCAGATTCCGTGGATCGTCCATTTGCACCCAACACCATGGGATCGTCACCGCTCATGTACGAGCTGTGTGGTGCTGCTCTCTTCTTTATCTTCGTTGTCTAGGATCCAATCTTACTTGGTCTTTCGAGCCGGCTTGGTCAGACGCTCGAGGCCGCCAAAGTACGGTCGCAATACGTTCGGGATGCGCACCGAGCCATCGGCCTCCTGGAACGTCTCGAGGATGCTAATGATGAGCCGCGGGATCGCACAGGCCGTGCCGTTCAAGGTCGCCACGAACTGCGTCTTCTCCGCCTCGGCCTTGTGGCGGATGTTGAGCCGCCGCGCTTGGTAGTCGGTGCAGTTGCTCAAGCTCGAGATCTCGTTGTAGCTGCCGCGGCCCGGCATGTAGGCGAGGATATCAAACTTGCGGTACGCCGGCGCCCCGAGGTCCTCGGTCGCCATGTCGACCACTTGCGCGTGCAGCCCGAGCTCCGAGACAATCTCCATCTGCACGTCGAGAAGCTCTTGCATCAACGTCTCGGCGTGGTCGAGCGTGCCTACACCAAACAGCATGGTCTCGCCTCTGGTAGGTACCAAGAGTCGCACCGTAGGCAAACATCTCGACCTTGCTGAACTGATGGATGCGGTAGAGGCCACGCGTGTCCTTGCCGCCGTGGCCCACCTCGGTGCGGAAGCAGTGGCCGAAGGCAGCGACCTTGAGCGGGAGCTCGGCCGTCGAGAGGATCGAGTCGGCGTGGAGCGCCGCCAGCGGAATCTCGGCCGTGCCCACGAGACACAAGTCCGAGTTGGCGACCGAGTAGACTTGTGTGGCCTCGCCGCGGGGCTGGAAGCCGCAGCCCTCGACGATGCTCGCGTGCGCGACGTCGGGCGGCAAGTGCACGACAAAGCCCTTGGCGCGCAATTTGGCCATGCTCCAATGCACGAGTGCCAGCTCTAGCATCGCACCGTCGTTCTTGAGTGTCGCGAAGCGCGAGCCGGCCATCTTGGAGTTCATTTCGAGGATGTCGAGGTCGGTCGCGAGGTCGAGGTGGTCCTTGGGCGGGAACGAAAACGTCGGCTTGGTGCCAATCGTATGCTTGACGACCGAGTTCTCTTCGGGCCCGAGCGGACTCTCGGGGTGCGTTTGGTTGGGCAGCAGTAGTGCCTCACGTTCCTATCCATGCGTTTGCTATGCAGCGTGCCCAGTATCGATCGTCAAATGTACCATGTCGTCGGTGAGCTGCGACAGGGACGTCTCCAGCGCCTGAATCTCGAGCTTGATGTCACGGCCACGAAGGCGCGCCGCCTCGTCCGCGCCTTGCTTGGCGAGCGCATTGCGCTCTTGGCGCAGCAGGTTCACGTGCTGCGTCTGCTGGGCGTGGGTCGTGTAGAGCGCCGCCACGCGGGCCGGATCGCCGCCGCTCTTGCGCACAGCCACGTTGCGGACAGCAGCGTCGACGTCGGCGACGAGCGCCTTGAAGTCCAAGCGCGACTTGATCGGCGTCGGCACCGTCGAGAAGCGACGCACGCAGTACCGCAGAGCCATCGATGCCAAAATGACCCGCAAACCAGCGTTTTCATATTATCCGGAGGATCCGTATACACACCGAAATCGTGTGCAGTGGCCAAGCGCCAAGCCGACGGCGACACCAAAGTACGTTGCATCGACCAAGGTCGTCGTCGTCAAGACAATAGCGCGTCTCTTGCAGACGAGGTTGCGTTGAGGCCTGGAGGCAATGCTTGCTGGTACAGGCGTGCTTCCGTGTTCCATTCCAGGACCACGATGTCGTGCGTACACTATTTGCGTGGATACGGTGCACTGTCTTTGGACCTGCGAAAAGCGCGCGGGCGAAGGCGGGGGAAGGATGCAGGATCCGCGCTTCCTGCATCCTTCCCCTGCCTGGTTATTCGGCATGGAGCCCACGGCCGTGGAAGACAATCTAAATGGCATAGAGTAACACATAGAATGCACATAGCTCGACTAACTATAATAGCTCGACGTGGTGCTACGACAAGATAAGGCGGCTCGGACACAGGCGACCGCGAAGAGCTGTCGACAGGGTGCAGGGACCCTTGCTTGTTGTCGATAAATAGTCATTTCTATGCAAAGATATTACATGGTTCGACCACCGCGTCAGAGGATCTTGGTCGTACTCTAAGACTCTGCGAGTACGACCCAGATCCTCGGACGCGGTGGTCGGACACGTCTCCTCTGTTCAAAAGACAAAGGAGGCGTGTCATCACTCGGTCCTCGTGCGTACGAGAGAGAGCAAAAAAGTATTGCATTTCATGCCGACGAAGGAGTCAAGAGGATAAGGTTGAGTGTTCTTGTTGCAATGCGCACTGCTACCAATCGCTGGCATGCCCGCCGATCCGCTCTGCTCCTTTCCTCGTCATGCAAGAACGCAACTACAGGTTCAGCAACAAAATAGCATCGTCTCCTCCTTCCGCACCACGCTGCCATCAAGCGCGCTTGAGGCAACATCATAGGGCAAGCGACGGTACTCGATCCTAGCGATAAATGCTCTGAAGCACCGTGTTGGTAGTCTCTACCTTGATGGCCTTGTATACAGGCGTGCTGTGATAGGCCATTGTGGCGGATTGGATCGACTGGGTTTCGAGGTCGTGTAGAGCACATGGAATGAATTTCTTTGGTTTTATCGTGTCGTCTCGGTTGAGGATGATTTGGTTCCTTGTCGGTGGAGGTCCTTTACATGGCGAGGGTATCAGTTTTCGGCGGCTCCGAGCCCTTGGGCACGGGAAGGAAGAGCTTGAACTCGGGCGGGAGCTCTTCCTCCGAGTACAAGCGGTCCGAAAAGTAGATGCGGCGAATGCGGCAATTCGCGTGGATCTGGACGCGGAGCGTCTCGATGTAATTCGTACCATACGCACGGCGCGTAAAGTCCGAGAGGTTGAACTGGATCTGGTTCCAGCCTTCGTCGAGGCGCATAGGCATCGTGCAAATGAACGGCTTGACGCGCGTGCTACTTTGGTAGTTGGACGCGCGGAAGCGTCGGCGCACGTTCTTGTCGTCGAGGACCTGGACCTCGAACGTAAAGTACTTTTTGAGGTTCTTGATGATCATGACGAGGAACGGCAGCTTGATGCCGAGCGTCTTGGCCGGCAGCGCCGGGCACGCAATGTAGTTCGTGCTCACGTTTGTGCCCATGATCTCGAGCACGGACGATTGAATGTCCTGGTCCGTAATGCGCTTGATGTGCCCATTTCGGACTTGCTTGTCCCAAATCTGCAGCGGCTTGCTCCTACCGTTAGCCGACGATTGAAGAGGCGACGCCTTCACACACGCTTCGTAGTACATACCCGATGCTGTAGAGAATCGAGAGGAACCCGGACTGGAACGTGTTCTTGAACATCCCGTCGTCCGCGCCGGCCCCGTCCGCGGCCTCGGTCGAAAATGGAAACTCCCACGACGGCTCAAGATCGAAGCTGTCCGGATACGAGCGAAACCGCACTTGACGGGGCAAGGGCCGCGTCTCGACAAAGTGCGCCCGCCCACAAACTCGCACTTGCGCGGAGACCGACGTGCTCGCACAAGTACGCCACAGCTGGCTCAGAGAGGCTCAGACAAGGAAGGAAGATGGGACGAGTAGCGCGGCCATGATGGCCGCTTCGAGAGAGGCGACAAGGCTGGCCGCGAGGAGGCGGGCAAGCGCAGGTTTAAGAAGAGCCAAGAATACCCCATCTTCGTGACGTTGATACGGCTGGATACCAACGATGACCGCATGGGCACCACGCTTGCAGCGAGCAGCGTGGCCTATGCGTTGGAACCTTGGCCGGCGAATGGTGCGTGGAGGTGGCGCGAGCTCGGGTTGTGTAGGCGAGAGAAGCTTCATGAGCTAATGGGCGGCTCGACAAGCTGCCTCAGCATGGCCAGTCGAGCTATGTGGACATGGGGTGGCAGGTATTCGAGGCGAGAGATGACTAGAGCCGCCTGTCGGAACACGGGACGCACTCGGCGGCCAGTCGCTCTGCACGGCTGTTTCGAAGCCAAGCGCACGCATGAGCGACCGTCCTACGAGAAAAATAGACCGACGTCACGGAAAGTGCAATCTCGGCCTTTCCGAGTCGCCATCCTGTGGCCGAAGCTCCAGCGACCACAGCTCCCATTCACATCTTTCTCGTTTCGAGGCGGCTCGTTCGCCATCGCTCGTTCAGCCCGCGTCGCGAGCCATGGCCCACGTTTCGCACGGCGTTGATGGGCACTCGCCGTGGCGGCAACAACAACAAAGCAATAAGGCGTCTAGCTGCTGTTGCTGCATAAGACGCCATTCATAAACGTGAACATGTGAAAATACATAACAGCCACGCACTAAAGCTCATGATCTGCTACTGCATGCCGGGTGCCAGCACGAGCTTCCCGATCGTGCGCTTGCCCGAGTGCAGGCCGGTCGAGTAAACCAGGAGGGCTTGGCATGCTTCGCGTTCGCACTGGCGAGCGCCTGTCTTGCTCGCAAAGCCGCACTCGTGGCACACGGCGCCGCGCGGGTTCACGACCGGAACGCCATTCCGGTACTCCCGCGTCATGTTGAGGACGCTATCGAGCGCTTCCCAGAGCGGCTGCGCAAGGGGGCACGCAACCTCGCCGGCCAAGAGCGACTTGACGCGAACATGAGACCCATAACACTTGTCGTTGAACGACTTGCGCGAGACGATGATGGCGCCGGCAAGGCCAATGCCGCCGTAGAGCCCCATCGAGTGCGAGTACGAGTAGTTGGGAGCGACGCCGCCACGCCCGACGTTCAAGTTGGCGGCCGCGGCGCGGCCAAGAGGCCCGACCGCCAAGTCGAGCTCGGAGCCCAATTGGACTTGTCCATTGCGCGTAAACGTCTTGACGGCGCCGCGCGAGCTCAAGATGATGATGTAGTTGACGACCTCGCCGCCGACCATCATGCCAAAGCCAATGCCGCCGCTGCCAATGAACGCGGGCGCCGACCAGCCGTGCGCCGTACGCGCTATCACAAAGCCTTTGCCGCCCTTCCCCGACACGAGGAAACCGAGCTTGTAGATGGTGAGGAAGACGAGGCCCTGCGCTTCCATGAGCAATTCGCGCGGGATCGAGTGGTCTTGCAGCACGGACGGGCCAAAGAACTTGTCGACAATCGAGAGCGCATGCTTCATCTCGGATGCAAACTGCGCTTCGGTCTTGTGGTCCATGACGTGCGATGGCGCATGCAGCGACGATGCGTGCTGCACCGGCAGCGACACCGCCGAGGCCGACCGTGGCAGCGTCTGCCGCAGCGACGAGTTGCTCCAGCTGGACTCGACCGAGCGGGGCGCCATGCTCTCGGCGCGGCTCATGGGCGGGCGCGGATACGGGTCGGTCATGCGGCTTCTTGGCGTGAGCAGCTTGCCGCGTGAGAGTCGAAATGCGTGGAAAATGGATCGGGCGCACCGGATACGCTTGGGTATCCGGAAGATTGCCGCTGGAACGTATCAATAGTGTCTCAAGATCGAGCCACGTCGGCGTCGGTTGTCCAACGTGTCGACGCTAACAATGTCCACAGAGCGCAGGCTGCTTCCGACACGCAGGAGCGCAATAGCCATCACTGCATTTCAGTCCGATTGTCCGAGTGAATGAATCGTCTACGGTGTCCAAGGCGTTTCCTTGTGCCGCATGCATGACGTGCAGCAACCTCGGCGACATCCCGACTCTAATGCATAGTCGTTGATGGCTTGGGCTTGGCGAAGCTGCCTACTGTCGGTAGCTATCCCTCTCTACGGCTACGACTTGGGTCCCGATTCGAAACATGACCTTTGGAGCACGCCGCCGCTGGTCGCTCGGTCGTTCCAGCAAGGCTCAATATCGGTAAATTGTTTATTGAGCCTTGGTTCCCGCCACCGTCGTTCGAGCCACGGACAGGGACAGCGCGAGTGCTTGCACACACATCGCCTTTGCCAGCGTAGACACAGGGGTACATATACCCCTGCGTAGACATATCCAAATGTCCATTTTGGTGTGTGCATGCTCGACGGGAAGGGTGTCGATCCCAGCGCAAGGCGACATATCCCGATGGCATTTGAGACGATTTTGGGAAAGACCACTTGCGTCATACAACCTCGGCGCTGCACACAGCGTCGAGCCGTGTCGCAACCAAAAGCTCTCGGCGTTTGTATCGCCATCCAGCTCGGCGGCGGTGAATTGTTGTTCGTTGTGGCGAGATCGCTCGCAACCTTTCCCTGGGCCCATCACCCTTCTCGACAACAGGACCAAAGCAGGCTCGGCGCAAGCGAGCCATGGCTCTTCCAGGTGCATCTTCAAGCGGCTACAGCACTTGGGCATGGGCGACAATTCAAGGTGGCTTGTGCCCGCAGAATGGTGCCTAGGGTGTCGCCAGTCGGCTTCGTTCACTCGCAAGTACTAAACATTACACTGTAGTAGGCGCCTGCAATCGAGCCTCGACGCTGTGCCAAATTGGCCTTTCTCGTCCTCGCTGCTGCTGCTGCATGCAAGTCGGTCATGAGACGGAGGACCACGGTAATACATTCTATGAATTGAGGATATCGCCGCGCGTTATTTAAGCCCAGTGGGTGCGGTGGTAGCGGTCGTTCTCGCCCTTGGCCCAGGCAACCGTGCCCCAGAGCAAGAAGAACGAAGGGACGAGCACAAGCGCGTTTTCCTGGACCTTGCGGAGCGCCTTCTGCGGCGCCGACTTGATCAAGTAGTCGACCGGGCGCTGCTCGTACGGCGAGAGCGTGCGCACGACGCGGCCCGTCTCGGGCGCGTACTTCTTCCACCACGTGGTCAAGGCAGCTTGGGGGCGGCTCATCTTGGGTCTTCGAAACTTACTGACTGACGCGAAAATGCCAGTTTGCACCAGTCGTTTCGATACTAGAGCAGCAAACCCTCGGTAGTAGCACATCCCATAGACACGCGCGCGCAAGTGCGCCGGCCCACCCGCACTTAATGCAATCCGAACGGCAAGTGACTAGCGATGGGTCAATCGCACTTACATGGGATGTATTGCCGATCCGGTTGAACGTCTCTTGGCTTCAGTATGGTTCGGTGGCGCGTTACGTCGACTGAATTTAGCCCTCGGTTGCACACCGAGGCGGACCGTCGACGAGCCAGCAGGCTGCTATAGAGGACTCGACGCTGCCGTGCGGTGCTGCGGTGACCCGAAGGCACAGCGGTCGCGATGGCGTTGGACCGAGCATGGACTGTCACTGATAAAAACACATTTGATAAAAACACATTTGATAAAAACATAGTGCTGCGGACCAATCCCCGGTCTGTAAAGTGTTTCAAACGGTATTGAACCAGTGCATTTGACCAGATGACCAATCAGGAGCCTGCAAGGTGTTGGAAACCAAAGATGTTTTATACACATGAAGATTGGGACCAACCAAACACCGATTGTTGCAGCATGAGCACGACCGAGGCCAAGACGGGCACGAAGCGCAAGGCTGCGTGGCAGCCGCCGGTTTACGTACGCTACGATCGCATTGCAATCATATCCCTAAGATCGTATATGGCCTTGTAGAAGAAGCGCAATGTGGCGTCGACGGCCAAGGGCTTTGCCGGCGTCCTCGTGACGTGCGACCGCACCAAGGAACGCCAGGTCGTCAAGGACATCCTCAACATCCTCAACGACACGGCCGATAAGCACTACCCCAAGGACGTCGACGAAAACGATGACGACGACGACGACGCCGACGATGACTCGAAGACGTCGGCCGAGAAGCTCGCGGAGGAAATCAAGGGCCTCAAGAAGGACAAGGGTCGCTTCATTGCACTCGACTCGGTACAGCAACAACACCATCACAGCCTTTGTATCTGATAATGGCGCGTATAGGGCGTGAAGGGCATCATTATGATCCAAATCGCTGACAAGAAGATCCCGGTCGTTGCGCTGGTCAACCACATCTTTGAAGAGATCGAGGCGACCAAGCAGTTTTCGTCGCGCTTTATCCAGCGTGTGATTCCGCTGGAAAACCTGTGCTTCCCGGATATCGCCGAGATCACGGAGGCGGTCACGCCGTACATTGAGCGCCACTTTAAGGACACGAAGGACCTGACGTTTTCGGTCGAAGTCAAGAAGCGCAACTCGGGCAACATTGCGTCCATGGACATCATCAACGCATGCGTCGCCGTCGTTGGGTCTGCGCACAAGGTCAACCTTACAACGCCCGACGTGGTCATTTTGATTGAAATCTTTAAGGTACACTTTCAAGTGCAAACTCAAAAGGCAAACTCAAACGAGTCCCACCATTAGAACGTGTGCGGTGTGAGCGTCGTCACCAACTTTCACCAGTTCCGCAAGTTTAACGTGCGCTCGATCTTGGACCCGCCGCCGGTGACGGGCACGAAGAAGGAGTCGTCGAAGAAGACGACCGAGGAAAATGCCGCCAAGAAGGACGCGACGGAGGAAGAGGACAAGGAAGACGATGCGTAAAGTCTCGCAGCATGGATGCGTCGTTCTCTCCGATTCCGACCCGCGACTAGCCCTTCACTATGTAGATGCAAAAATCAGTTCTTATTTGCGCCAATATTTCGACGCTATCCCACCAGAGCGCGGTGGAATGGCTCGAAAATTTATCCACTCGAGAGGCGTGGAGTTACTGCTTGATGTTGTATGGGCGGTACTCTTTGCGACGTTGTTGAACATGATGAAAGTAGTGTACCACGGATTGTAGCCGCGACTTGGCGGCTTACCCCATTTTCTCGCAATGCCACCTTAGTCATCGAAGCGCATTATGGATCTCTACTTCTTGCTCTCAGGACTGCAATCGATCACGTACGGGAGGTACATAGTGCTCGAGTCATGCATGGACGAAACTTTGCAAGAACAAAACATGGATTTTGACTGCGGTAATTGGAAAGCCATGTGAAGGAGATGAATGAGTAGTATCACAAGTTAGTGAGTTTCGCGCGACTGATGGGTAGAATAGAATGACTAAATTGCTTCTATGGTATCTTGGCCGTGCCATGGGAAGAATCCTTTCCAATGTGCCTTATAGCATGCCGTCCATACTCGCCGCCTCCATGATTCGCCAGCAGATGTTGCTGCAACAGATGGTCCATCTGTTGCGATTATAATACCAAAATCATTCTGTTGCACTTGGTCGTGCGCTGCGGCCGCACGTAGAGACGACGTCACAAGACGTCGACAGCGCCGAACGACGCGTCAGCTTCATCGTGCGCTTTTTCCCAATAGCGTGGGAGTGTCTGATCGCGGACCTGGCTCGCGACGGCGGAAGGGACATACACCGTGTGACTCACGTGGTGATGACCTGGTTCGGCTGCAGGGTCGGATACGTCGGGTTGTTTCTTTGGCCACTTGCAGTTGGATTGCAGGAGCTGTCTCGTCCCTTTCTGTCGGCATTTCAACTTTTGGCGTCTAGAGCTCAATGAGTGCGACTCCAAAGTACGAAGCATTCACGCCGACGCACGCGACCATGCTGCACGCCGAGCCGCCGCTCCTCGACGATGCACCGCCCACGCAGGTATGTACTTCCGCTATCACGATCGGTTGTCAACCACTCTGACTTGTAGCGCCGCCGGAAGATTGCCATGATGGCTGCCGCGGCGCTTGTGCTCCTTGGCACCGTCGTGGCCATTCTCGTGTGGCAGTTCGGAGGCACGTTCAGCGACAGCGCGCTGGGGACGGGCAAAGATAAAAGTACGTCGCCTGCAACGATCGCGCCGACGCCGACGCGTCAAGTCTATTCGATCGGCAAGATCCAAGACGGCAGCGTGTGGGCGCCGGGCGAGGACCGCAACCCGCTGTCGTATGGGAACCAAGGTACACTCTTCGCATGCAATCCGTCGTCTCAACGCTACTAACTAGGCTGCCAGCTCCCCAACTATGTCTCCAAGCAAGGACAAATCTTTGTCGTTGGGCCCGACAAGTCGGAAACACCGATCTCGATCAAGGGCATCAACTGGTTTGGTATGGAAACCATCAACAACATCCCGTTTGGCCTCTGGACCAACGACCAAAACGGCACGACTCTGGTACACACATAGTCGACTTCTCCAAGAGCTCAAACGTAGAATGCTAGTACGAGATCACGGCCTTTCTGAGCCGGAACCGATTCAATAGCGTGCGCCTGCCGCTCAGCGTGCAGAGCTTGCTGCGTAACACGCCGCCCACCGCTGCGATGGTCCACCAAGACGCGAACGCCGCGCTCAACCTCACAAGCTACGTCTCGACGATCGGGAGCATCGTCCAGGCACTCGGGTCGCGCGGCATCTCGGTCCTCCTGGATATGCACAACTTGAACGCAACCGAGAAGGGCGATGCATGGTATGGCAACTCGACGACATCCGATGAATTTCTCCGCGCTATCGACGTGCTCACGTCGTCCTTCTGCCATGCGTCCTATTATAACATTATTGGCGTCGATCTCAAGAATGAACCGTACGGCACGACGTGGGGAGACAACGGCCCCAAGGACTTTCGCACGGGCGCGGCCACGATCGCCAATCGCATGCTGCACGCGTGCAGCAACTGGCTCGCGTTCGTCGAGGGCAATGCCGCCAAACACAACATTACGGTCGCAGGCCAAACGTCCTACTTTTTCGACTGGTGGGGCGGCGGTCTCCGCGAGGCGGGTACGTCGGGTACGTCTTATGTGCACAAGATGATTTTTCATGATTTTTCATGATTTTTCATGATTTTTTATGATTTTCAACAAATTAGGCAAATTCCCACTGCAGCTCGCGGTCGCGCAGAAGCTCGTGTACTCGCCGCACTATTACTCGCCGTCCGTGTACCCGCAGAGTTACTTGGTCAACGGCGGCAAACGCGACGGCGACGTCCTCGTCGGCTACACAGAGTACGACGACGCGACCCTCACTGACGTTGTCAACCAGAGTGCCGACGAGATGTTTGGGTACCTCCGCCACGTCCAGGACGGCGCGCTCGTGCTCGGCGAGTTTGGCGGCCTCTTTACTCTGGACGCCCACGAGAAGAAGACGACGCAGCGCGTGACGCAGAACGTGCTGCGAATGCTCAAGACGCCCGGGTACGCCGGCGGCTACATGTGGTCGCTCAACCCCGAGAGTGGGTACGAGTACAACCCGAGCTCGGTCCAAGGCTCGTGGACCGAAGGGCTTCTCGAGAAGGACTGGGTGCATGTCAACATGCAGTACCTTCACGCCCTCAAGATCATGGACGAAATGCCGCATGTCCAGCCATTCCCGTGCCTCAAGTAAGCGTCCGAGTGATCAGTGACACGACGTTGTCCCTTGTGCGCACAAGGCTCCCTGTACACCTTTCTTGTGGTTTCAATCCTAATCGTCAACGTATTTCTGTATGTTTCACTGTGCAATATTTGATGATAGAGGGTGGACCCTTGGTGTCGGAAGAGGACAACGATCGCTGAACTCGTACAGAGAAATGCATGCGTAGAGAAATCAACACTAGGATCATCATAATCATCATCAAGGTCGATGGGTCGATTCAGTCCTTAACGACAAGATAGGCAGGCAGACGCGACGCTAAGTTAACAGGCAGGTCGTCGGGAGGCGCTTACGTCGCAAGGGCGCTTGGGAGCGCGGCTTGTGGCCGCGTCTTGACGAGCTGCGCGAACTGGTGTTCGATGGCTTCGGCTTGGGCGAGCTTGGTTTGCATCTCGTGGAGGAACTCGATCGTCATGTACATGTTGGCCTCGTCCGCCGGGCGGTTCTTGGCGGCCTTGACCGCGTCCATCATGTACGAGTTGATCGCATGGAGGCGGTGGCGGAAGAGCGCCATGTCGCGGAGCGGGTCCATGGAGCCATGCAGAGCGGTCTCGGCGTCGTCCATGGCAGTCGCGAGGAGCTGCGAGATGTGGGCGATGGCGGTCGGGCGGATCGAGATCATGCTCAAAGGGGCAGTAGGGAAATGGCAACCAGAGTGAAAACCCAGATTGGTTCATTCCGCCAATCAGAGGCGAGGACGCGGGCCGTTTTGGCCAATCAAACGCGCGCCAGCTTAAGATGGCTACTCGGATGCGGTCATCTTGGCCGTCGTCGGGTGACGCGTTGCGGTCGATGCGAGGGCCGGTGCGATTGCCTTGGAGTTTGTATGCCGCAAGTATCATCAAGCCATGTCTATCATGGCCGCCGTCTACACTGTAGTTGACCGTTGGATGGGTTGCTAATAAAATGCAAACAGCAACTTCAAAAGCGGCCTATACTGCTGGGTTGTGTAAGGCTCGTTGATATTGGCTGCTCGCACGGCAGACTATTTAATTGCGGGAGCACGCGATAGGGCATGACGACCTCATGCTCGCACGTAGTACGACAAAAACGGATGGCGTCAGCATTGGGGCCTTGCTAAAGCTGTGGCCTGACTGTCAACACGACCAATGTTCGTTGCATCTCACATCTCAATTGCACGACAAGCAAGCGCGCTCTGCTATTTAGCATACCGCTGGCAACTCAAAAGATTCAACAAGGAGGCACAGAGACGGAATATCCGTGGAGAATTCATCGTACCACGCGGATGCGATCCAGCACAAGCTGAGGACGTCGACATGCCCTTTCTGGTAATACTCTTTATTTCTTCAGAATGGCCGGTTTGATGGACTGAATGAGCTCGATCGCGGGCGCGACCTTTTGCGACTTGGTACGACGATCGTACGAGCTCTTTTGCATGTGCAAACTAGGGTGAAATTCATGAAAATACCCAGCAAATCGCATGGGATAATCATACCTATGGCCCATGTAGATGGCAAGGGCTTCCAGATCCTTCTCGGTCGCGGAGCTCTGGCCGCGCAAGTAGGTCACGATGCTATCGCGGAGCAAGTGCGGGTTGGTCTTCTTTCCTGTATGCTACCGCGCCACAAATCCATGAGATCCATTCCCAAAATTCACAAGCAGGTTGTCGTACGCGGTAAATGGTGCGTGTAAAGGTGCGGTAGATAAAGTCAGCCGTCGCTTGTTCGCCCTTGGTGTTGCAAAACAAAAAGTTGTGGCCGTCCACGGGATTTAGCTCCTTGCGCCACGTGGTCAAAAACTCGTTTAAATATGGCACAATATGGTCTGGAATGACCTGTATCCATAAGATTCACATGTATGAACAAGAGGAGTGGACAAGAGGAACCATACCAGCGGCGGACGCTCGCCATACGCTTTGCCCGTCTTGTAGTCGTCCGGGCCATGCGTGATGATCCACTGACCCGATGCATTTTGGTGCAGCGTTCGGCCAATCTCGATCTCACGCAGCGTGCGCTGACGGTCGGGAATACCCGAGAAAATGCCCAGCATGACGCACTTTTGGTAGCTCTGCGCAATCGCGTACCTACACCACGCGTCAATATTGTCATTATGACCAGAATATTGTCATAAATCATATATATATAAAACCGACTTGGTGCGCGGCTTGTCGTTCTCGGTCGTCTCTTTGCATTCGAGTTTGAGCGCCTCGACGACACCCAGAAAATCGGGCCACGCGAGCCATTTCTAGAATTCGTCGTTTTTTCCGTTGCGTGGGATGCGGCGACGCACCTTTTCTTCGTCGACCGCGCGGTGCGACTGGCCCGACTGCAACGACGTGGTCTTGTGCATCTTGCGCAGTTCGCGAATCACGGGAATGTCGTCAAAGGCCTTGTCACCGTACGTTGGGTCGAGCTTACTGCCGCGGCCATAGAGGTACTTGGCGAGCTTCAAGAGTGCTCGGAGCATGTTGGCGCAGTAGTTGGGCGCGGCCTTGCGCTCGAGGCGAAGCCACTGAATGTACTGGAAGATGACCTCAGCCGACGACGCTTCGGCCGATGGGATCAGCGTTTGGAGCGTCAACGGCTACGTAAAAATGATTGACAGTGAACACGAGATACCTGGTAGACAAGTGTCGTACCCCTTGCAGCTCGGTGTGGTCACGTGCATACCCCAGCGCGAGCCGGATCAATCGAATGTACGGCTCCGCCGTGCTCTAGCACCTCACATCATAAACCAGGATCCAGACGCCGCCACAACAAGCAAATAATGTACCATGCGGATCGGCGGCTCCATTTGCCCAAGTGATGGCGTCGTCATGTAGGCCAGGAAGCGATTAAGCTCGAGCTGGAGCGCCTCGGGCGTCTCGGCCGCAGTCAGGCCGTACGTGTCTTGCTTCTTCTTGCCAATGCGGATGGACTCGTACTTGGCGCGCGTCGGCGGTGTCATGACCGCGCTCGAGTCGACGACTGGCAGCGTGGCGGCGGCGGGCGTGGGCTCGGGCGCCGCCGCGGGCTCGGGCTCGAACGTGTCGTGCACGACTGGCGCCGCGACCGGCGCACCTTCCTGAAGCAATTGCAGAATGCGCAGCGGAATGTGGAGCGTCGCCGCGTCGGCGGACGTGAGCGCCAAGACGTCGGCCTCGCTCGTGTACCAGTTGTCCTCGAGCGTGGCAATGAACGGCTCAAAGGCGGCTTCTGGGCGCTTGAGCTTACTGCTCAGGTACGATAGCTTGGTGCGCGGGAAGCTCAAGCTCTCGCTCGACAAGAAGCGCGTCGGCTGCCATGGCGATCGGCGGCGCGCGAGGCGACTGGCCGTGCGCAACATTGCTGCAAAGACCGGGGCTCGAAATTTGACACTGCCGGATAATAACATGGTATTCGGAGGATCAAATGTTGGAGTTACACATATTAGTTTATAGAGGTATAAAGCGCAAATTAGTGTGATATGAAACTTATGAAACGGCCACCGTTACGACCAGCAGACTGGCTTTGGGAAACGGTTGAATGGTTGCGAATCAACTAAAGACTACGCAAAAGAACATTGCCACTTTATCAAGCTTCCTTCAAATGCAGAGACAAGTGTTGTCATCCCCGCTCAACGTGCGATCAGTTTGACGAGGTGTACCTCGTGTGCGCTATCGACGCTTCTAAACCTGTTGTAGCCGTTGCGTTGTCAACGTGGTAGTCTGTTGCCCTTTTATCAGATATATTCACCCTCTATTGTTGCAACATTGTAATGTACGATCTATAGTGGATCTGCAACTTTGTCTCCCATGCTTGTCTCCTGGCATTTAGGTAGACAGTTGCCATGCGAATGTGGTAAATTTCAGGGGAAGCATTGTCTTCGTCCAAAGCAAAATTCTTTGTATAGTCAGCACTGCGAGACATTCAAGAGTATATACGTAATGATGATCTGGACGCTTGAAGTAACGCGCTTCATCTTTTGATGAAGCGCGTATTGTTTCCTTGGCCACAAAAAACACGAAAATAGAGTGATTCCCAACAGTATATTGCTGCTTGAAACGGAATTTGGCAAAACCACAAGCTCACGGATGGAGAAGCTCCAGCTCGCGATCCCGACGACCCGAGAAGCGCCCGACGAGGAGTCCAAGGTCGACGATGCGCGCCGGCTCCAGGAGGAGGACATTGTCATCGTCTTTGAGCTGCCCGACGGCTCGGAAGTCCAGGAAAAGGTAACCAGCGCCCCTTTATTCTCTCTGATTTTTAACAACAAATTGCTAGTTTAAAAAGGGACAAACCATCGCTGTGCTCAAGAGCTACCTATCGATGGAGTTTGACTTGCCGATGGAGTCGCTGGTGCGTCCTCCAGTTGGAATGAGGTGTCTTATTGTGCAATGGGTAGAAACTTTTGCACCACGAGACGACGCTGATCGACCCATACACGATCACCGACTACCCAGAACTTGAGGCATTAGACCACGTACGGCTTCGCGTCAAGCAGTCTCGTAAATAGCGAAAAAACGCGTTCAACTCTATCGCAATACTAGTATTCGTTGCCATGCACGACTCACTCACTGCTATTCAATCGCTGTGTATGAAGAACTATGCTCGAAACGTCGATGAATCGAAAGACACACCTCAAAGGGCATAAAATCATTTGACGATATCGCCCTTACACCCCAGAATACACGGCTGAACCAGCGCACGAGACGCATTTTGGTGTCGGGTGGCGTCATTACACGCCAATGGTTCCGTCTGCACGCTTCAGGTCGGCGAGGGGCATGACGGCTTCACTCTTGCGGTCGACTTCGTACGAGTAATTTCCGTGCGGGCGATGGAACGGCGTCGCCTCCGTGATGTAGCCCTTGGGCTGCAACAACTCTCGGGCATCCGCGACCGTCGGCGTCCCAGAAAACGTCACGACGACGTTTTGCGGACCAATCTCAAAGTAGTAGCGCGTCGCCATCACAAGCTCAATGGACAAATGACCGAGTTGAGTTCATACCGTTGCGTTGGTCGGCCCCACTACCTATTGTCCAACCTGTCTAGCCGTGGGAAAGGGCGGCGCGCCAACGGTCGAAATGCATCACCCGACCCAAGCTCCAAGCTCGGGACGGTTCCAGAAAAAAGTCCTTGCCGCCACGACGACATTAATCCCACGCATCGATGGCTCCCGATACGCTAAATCCCCAGTGAGTCCCCAGCCAAGTACGGCACACTACCTTACCAAGCGATTATCGAATCGCAGCAGATAGCTCGTGCAGCGACAACACAACGAGTTCCATGCACAACACGTTGTGGTTCATTACGCCTTACAAGCTTTTCTACACGACATGTTGTACGCTCTGAGCTCAGGCCTTGCACGGGGCCGGCACGATCCGCATGTCTCGGATGACCTTCTTGGAGCGCGGGCGAATGACACCGGCGTACGGACCACCAAACTCGTACAACGCGCTCGTTGGGATCGAGCGCTCGCAAAGGGGCTCGACTTCGTACGACACGTGCTTGTCCGTCGCTGGCAAACTGCTCTTGTACAAAAAGAGGATAAAACGATCGTGCTCCGTCATGTGGTCTTGTGTCGTCAAGTATTCGCGAAGGTCCGCCAGTGTCGTGAGTTCGAGCTTGACAGCGATCGCAAGGCGCTTGCCGTGAATGTTGAGAAAAATGGCTGGCGAGTGACCCATTGTTTTGGGACGAGTGAAAAAGCACTATGAACGGCGTCGACAACGGCGCAAAGAATGGCCGTTGGCGCTGTTTTTTACGTGAGCGTAGCGTATTGTCCAACACCACCGGCGGGTCCCATGGTTTCGCAGACATAATGGCTAATCAAAATCAATCTTGCTGTTTGGAGCCTATTTCAACAGTACGCGTGCACGAGGCAGCTCCAAACGAGCACCTCTGTGCAGCACGTATTGTCGCAGTTGTTAGATTCTTGATGGCGCTGCTTGGACACGACTGTGAGAGACTAGCATCGTCTATGCAATGATAGGTTCACCAACCCGTGGTTCGCGCCGATATCTTTATCCGGATCCGGTTCTGAGGGAATGTTTTCTGTGCACGGCGCCAAAACACTGACAAAGACTCACACGCGCCAGAAGCTCTTCTCTGGTAGGAACAACTAAATCTGAATTTGAATCTGAATGCTAGAATTCAAGACGAAATGGAGTTGGCGAACCCCAAGCTCTTGGCTATGCGCTTTGATCGCGTTCGCAACTACGATGCGCAAAGCTTCATGAAGTCTTTTCTCACGGCTAGACATGAAAATGTGGTTCGTGCCACGTAGATGGGACCGACTAGCATACTGATGGAGGTATTTTAATATGGCTACTACAAATTCTCCAGCAACACACCCGACGGATGCACTTCTTTGTCGGGTGGTTCGAGTGCGTAGGAGCCTGCATACGACCTCGTGCGAGCTATGACTCGGCGAGTGGGGTCCACCACGGGATGGATCTCTGCGTGCGCAGCTCACTCCCAACGACCAAGTGCTGGTGCCAACTCCCACGCATTCAGGCGTAGCGCTACGTACCGGTATGCAAAGTCATTGACGTCGTTTTTTGCTCATTTGATTTCAACGCGGAACACGTTTGATAGATAGAACGCTTCGGCAATACGTGCACGCATGCTAGCACTTTAGCGGGGCGCGAGCTACGCCACAGCCTTGAACTGGCTAATAGTATGCTCTTTGGCAGCGTGGGGGCGGCGGGGCGGGCGTGGTATCGTGCATCTTCTTGGTGTGCGGGAGGATGACGCCGGCATTTGGGTATTTAAACTCGTACAATGCGCTCATCGGGATTGAACCTTCGCAGTCTGGCTCAACTTCGTACGGCACGTACATCTCCTTCGCTGGCAACTGACGCTTGTAGAGAAAGAGGATGAAGCGATCGTGGGCCTTCATGTGTCCTTGCTCCGTCAAGTAGTCGCGAAGCTTCGCAAGTGTGTTGGGCTCAAGCGTGGTATCGACCGCAAGACGCTTGCCGCTGATGCGCAAAAAGATGGTGGACGTGGTGCCCATTGTTTCGGGGCGGTAGAAATGCGCTGTGAGCGTTGTCGACAGTGGTGCAAGATATGGCCGTTGGAGCTGTTCTTCAACGTCACGACGCGAGATTGTCCAACAGTACTATACATGCAGGTTTTTCAATTCCAAAATGCACGAACGATGTGGCGAATGTGCAACTATCGTTGCACCAAAAGAGTGCCTCGTGAAGACGATTGACGATGTCCTGCTTTGTTTTCGCCAGATTGCGTGTCGACCAGTCTTGTGTCCATCGCAACACCACACAAGTTTGGCTGTTCTCAATGCATGACGTGGCACAACCTGCAGCGACGTGTCAACCGGCGTGGCGAAAACCACGCTTTCAATTGAGAAAACATCGTTGACGTTGCTGCTGTGAGGCCAATCCGTGACAGCAAACTATGATGGACGCACATCGCGCAAGTATCCAAGTCATCGTTAAACGGTACTAGTATGGTGTTATTACAGCGCTTCCCAGTCCCTTTCGAAGCGCTATGCTATCACAGATCAAAGGTGATCATGGGCTTGCTAAATGTAATCAACTGTAGCAACACAACGGATTCTTAGACGACAATGACTCCGTCGGCCTTTAAACAGTCGAGTGGCATGATGTCTTCGTTTGCGCGATCGACAATATAGGTCGTTGTAAATCCGTCGCGCTCCTCGGTGACCGTGAAGCAAGTAGCGTCGGTTATGTAACCTAGAGACGTGAGCATATCGCGAGCTGTGGTCACCGTTGGGCGCGGGCTTGTTGGAAACAGCTTGGCGCATGCGTAGTAGTCCTGGTCGCGAGGCATTTTGATTCGAAAAAAGAACATGATCCCTTGGTCCTCGGACATGCTATTATAGTGCGCTCTCGCTTTCAATTGTACTAGTACTGTGTTCACACAGCTTATGGGGCCGTTGATGGTTGATGACTACTGGATGTATACGACGAAGAAAGTCTGATATTTCTATTTCACCAAGAATTGTCTAGTATATGACCAAGACCAAGCCTTGATACAACATAGCTTTATATATATATGAACGTGTTTCGCGTTATCTTCGTTGTTACAAAGAGTTCGCATACGTAGATTTAGCAAAAGGAAATGTGTTCTAGACTCGTCACGCCTTCCATCTTGTCAATTGGATCAGGCCGCGCATGCCGGAATCCTCGCACTGGAAGAGTGCGTCAACCAGGATCGCGCGTTCGTCCACCAGATGGAGCTCGTACGGTGCGAAGTAGCCGTCCTCCTCGTGAAAGGTAACAAAACGATGCTTCTTCGTCATGAGCCCCCGTGCTTCCAGGAGCAATCGAACGTTTGCGAGTGTTGGATTCGATTCTTCAAAATAAAACGCAAGGCCCTTGCTGTCGAGCAAGAAAAGGCGAAGCACCCCGCTGCCCATCGTTCGCTTTTTGCAACTGACTTCAAAGCTATGGCTCCAGCGCCATCCGCCAAAGTGATGGCTCGTGACTGCAATGATTGATGCCTGGCGACTCGCGAGCATCAACCGCTTTTATGGCCTGGACCTCGTTTCGGCCAAAAAAGATCTAAAACCCTCAATCCCCTCGATGGTTAAAGACTTTTCTACCGGAAAGGGCATAGACCATAGACGCCCATACTAGTAGACCGACCAATAACGCCCGCGTTGGTCCTGGTGGACTGGTTTATCACCGGGAACCGCACTGAAGCGACAATGCTCTATCGAGCCATCCATACCAATCAATCTAAACCTTTCACCGAGTACGACTCGACGACGCCAAAACTAGTCGATCGTTGACGTAACTGTTTTCAAACCAACAAGGACTATCCCGGTTTCACATCGGCGTTTCGTCGACCGAACATTCACCAGGCACTGCAGCATCAACGGAGAGGATGCAGGTGTTTGTGGCCCCGCGCACGCTCGACATACTCGAAGGGCCATCGCCAGTCTCATGGCGTCTCCACGTTATCGGCATGGTGTACGTCGCGGCCTCCGTGGCGCTGAGCGTCTTTGTCCTTGACGCGTTTTCTGCGTACACGGCGACCGACTACTTGTGGCCCGACCTCGTCACGACATCGCCCGTGTTGCGGCAGCTTCTCAACACCCATCTCTCGACGCTGCCCTACGCGACAGAGCACAACTTCGACATTTTTGCCCCATCCTTCGCCCTCCTTGGGGGGCTTTCATCGGGCGTCGACGCTGTTTACGTCCGCCGGGTCCTTTACAACGATCTCACAACCTTGCCGGCCGCGATTCAGAGCCTTCGAAGCCTCTCCACGGATCAAGTGTCGATGCTCGTCGCCCCGTACTGCTGGGTTGACTTGGAGAAACACTGGGAGTTTGCCTACTCGACCAAGCGCCAAGCGCGCTGTGCGGCGTCCGAGGCGGCAAATGCCGCCATGTATTTGGAGTCGGTCCTGCGCAACATCGATTTTGAGGCGTGGCGGCAGTTTATGGGTGGTCTCTTTGACAGTCGCATCGGTGATCCGATCGCAGCGACCGGACAAAGAGGCGCCGACTGGCTGCGTACGTTGACCGCCCACACGATTCTTCTCATTGACGACGAAGTGCAGCTGTGGCGCTTGCGCGGATTGCAGCACTTTACGCTTCAATATGGCACGGGCACCGGTTTTGGCTTGCTCGAGAGTGTTCTTGTCGAGAACGCCCTTGGCATCGCGGTTCCCATGTCGCTCAAGAGCATCCCAACGACCAGTCGTCTCATGCACCGGAAAACGTGTCTCTTCTACGACCTCTTCAGCAACGACTTTTACGCGCCGAGCGAGAACCAAACCATGGTCCGAGGCACGTTAAACTACTTTGCTGATACGACGCCCGATGTGATGGCGTGCTTCATCGAAGGCTGTCCACTACCTCTGCTCGGTCAAACGCTCCACGACCAAGTCGGCTGGCTTGCCGCCCTCGATGCCAAGTGGGTTCTGCCCCCGCCGGCGCTTGTCGAGACCATCGATCGTTTCCGCGCCGATATGATGTCAGCGCTCGTAACCTCGCCGGCGCTGCAAGCCCATGTCGTGCCGCCCGTGTCGCTACAACTGCGGCCTCTGCAGTGGGCCGATCCGGGACTGAGCTTCTACAGCGGCAATCCGTGGTGTATCTTTGGCTCGCCATTGTCATTTGTGCAGCAGACCTTTGGCTTTGAGGATGTGTGTCAGCGCCAAGCACCACTGACGTCCGTCTGGCGTGTTGACGCTGGAGTGTTTGCGCTGCTGCAGCTCGGGAATGTGACAAGCGACGAGGTCTGTGTTGCTGCGGTTGACACGGAGGCATGTCAACGAGCCTTCCACGCGACGGATGGCTTGGCCCGAGCGCTGTCCTTGCAAGCGCCGCATGATGCCCATTTGGTGGACCACAATATTGGCCTTTTCCAGTATTTGCGCAACCAGACCCAGAGTGATCCCCAGATCCAGATGCAATCGCTGCTGGACCCGACGTTTGCTTTTTTTGGCTGGACCATGCTCTACGACTGGGCGTTAGGGCAACGGGAAGTGCTCTCCCTCCAAGGCGATGTCCAGACGGTCAATGTGATCTCGGTCGCCTACCCCCCGGTTGTCTCGGACGCCCCCCCTGCACCAGCAACGCTGGGACCGTACCTGTGGTATTCGGCGGCCATGACGACAGCGACACTAGGCGTTGTCAGCGTCGTCACGCTCTGCCTCGGGTGCACACTCCGGTCAACGTCGTGGATCATGTTCAACCCGGTGGTGTCCGCCGTCTATATTGGTCGGTACTTTCTACTCGCACGCAGCGGACTCGCCCTTGTGTGTCTCTCAACAGCCACAACAACGCTGTCAGCACCTTCTGCGGTCCTCCTCCAAGTGCGAAAATCCACACGATCGCTTCTGCTCTCGAGCGCATTGGCCGGCGAAGGTCTCTGGCTGATTTACGTCCTCCACGAAGTCGTTGCACCTCTTGTGCAAATGACGCATCGCGTGTCGACACTCGTCATTCTCACTGCAACCTGGGTCGCCCTTGTCTGCATCGATCAGTTTGCGCCAGTCACATGGCGCATCCATCTGCGTCGCGAGTGCTCGGTTGAGAACCTCGAGACGGTCACGTGTGATAGCGGACGGGTCGTGATTGGCAGCTGGGAACGCCTCGTTCTCCTCACGAGTCTTCTCCTCGGAGCAGGGCTCCTTGCAATCTTACTACTGTCGTGCCAGCGTCGCCTGCCCATGCCATTCTTGCACGTGCTTTTGCCCCCGACGCTCGCCAACTACCACGTCGGCGAGGTCTTGGAGCTCGACACGATTTCGGCGGTCATGTGCGGTCTCCTGGCCTTCGACTATGGCGGTGTTCACTATCTCCTCGACACCAAGCTCTGGCGGGTCGTGCGTACTCAAGAGTACGGCGTCCGTCGGCACCGACAGTATCTGAGCTTCCACTCGACGAGGGCTTCCAAAATGCAATTGCGTCTCGGCCCATTTCGACACAAACGCGCGTGGTTCCAGCACAGTACGGCGCTGCTAGGGCTCGGGTATCTCATCACGACGCTCACCAGCAATGTCGCATACCTCTCTGTCATGTCAGACGCGCTCGCCAACGACTTTGGCTGGTCGGGCTTCAACACGTCCGGTATGCACGCATATCTTGCTACAACCTTTACGCAGTTGTCGCTGACGTCGACAGAGATACTGCCAGCCTTGGTGCTCGACACACCGGCGCTGGGCATGCCTCTCTACCGCGACACGCACGGCACCATCGAGTGGCACGCCAACCTCGCCCGTCGAGAGCTCTTCAATGAAGACACACTGTCGCTTCCGTCGGCCGTGCGCGGTCTCCGGTCCATGGACCCATGCCAGCTGCCGTGGATGTTCACCCAGTACTGCTACCTCGACTTGAACCGGAGCTGGACCATGGCCAGCACCGCCGCGCGCCAAGGCCGATGCGACGCAACGATGCGCGACAACGGGGCCGTGTACCTTGCTGCGCCGCTTCGAAATGTCCGCGACTGGGATGCCATGCGCACGTGCTGGGGCACGTCGTTGGAGATGGCGTTCACAAGTGTCCTCGAGCAGACAGCAGGCGGGCGGGACTGGTGGCGTGCGACGACAACCAATGCGCTCCCGATCGACGCCGAGGTGGCTCTCTGGCGCACACATGGACTCGCGACGTTCCGGCTGCAGTGGCAAAACTTCAAAACGACGGGGTTCCATGATGCGATCGAGATTTCGACTGCGTGGGGGCAGCGCTTCGCGCTCACCATCGCGCACCTACCACCTGAGGTCCACACGGACAGACAGACGTCAATGCGCCTCTACTGGGCCTTCGCCAGTGATCTCTGGGCGGTGGCGAGTAACGTTAGTGGCATCGGGGGGATGTCCCTCTTGCGCGAAGCCCCGAACTTTGCCTTTGCCAACACGACCCCAACGCAGCTCTTGGTCACGAATACAACGCTTCGGGAGCCGCTGCAAGCTGGCCTTTTTGTGCTGCAAAGCACTTTAGGACCCTTTGGTGCCATCGACACCGAGTACATTTCGGTGCCGAGCGCGCTCCGGCAGTTTTACGGCGCGTTCATGCAGGCGCTGGCGAATCTGACGCTCTCCAACATAACGGCACAGGACGTGTTTCTTCAACTGCCGGCCAAGTCGTCGATCTGTGCGCTACCCAAGGAGCTCTTGACCGAGACGCCGCCGCTCTGGAACGTCGGCGGCAACCTCATTTGCGGCAGCGACCTCGCCCCCATCGACATGCATAACGGCCCCAATACCTTTGTCTCGTTCCGCTCGGACTGCGATTGGTGGGTCACGGAAACCATCGAAGTATCAACGACGGCGGTCCTCTTCGCGTTCGTTGGCGTCGATATGGTCATCGACAGCGACAGTCTGTGCAAATTGGATGTGTTTTCCGAAGTCGACTGCCGCGTCATCTACGACACGATACAGCGCTTCCGGGTCGAACACGCCGTTTCTTTCGAGGCGCTGTCGGCGTCCGCCGTTGCCAGCGCCGTCAATGCCCTTGACGTAGCGCTCGTCCAATACATAACACCCAGCACCATCGCAGCGACGCAGTTGTATCAACGGGGTCTTTTAAACGGCACGGACGATCTGGCCTGGCCGTTCTTTGGGTGGTGCTATCTCTTCGATTGGGTCATTGGCGCGCGCGAAGTCGTGTCTTTCCAAGGCGACCAGGGCCGCGTGCGTACGATCACGGCGGCGTTCCGGCCGCTTGCGCTCGTGCTCGACCCGACCGAGATGCGCACGACACTGAGCTACGTGTGCCGAACGAGCGCCCAATACGTCACGCTGCTCCTCATTAGCGTCATTGTGTTCGTCCTGTGCTACACTCTCACCTCGGTTGGTGCGATCAACGCTCTCCACCTCTTGGAGCTCAACCGCATCGTCGGACATGTCTGGGTCGGCCGGCTCCTCCTTCTGCTTCGAAGCGCGACGGCGCTGTGGCTGTTGAACATGAGCCAATTGACGCTTGCCTCGAATGGCCACGGCGCCCAGCTCGTTGTGCCAGCGACACCGTGGTACAAGGTGATCCTTGTTGCGTCCGAGCTGACGTGGCTTGTCTACGTGCTCAACGACTTGTTTAGCAGCGTCACGCAGCAGTATACGCCGGCGTATGCGTGGAAGAGCTCCGTGTTGACGTGGGCGATCGCTGTCGGCTGCCAAGCACCGCCGCGCTACTCTGCGATCTTGCAGCGAACGTGCACGTCGGTTGATATGGACGGCGCGCTGGATTGTACCACCGGGTACATTTCCATTGGCCGTCTCCGCGGCGTGCTCACGGGCGGTTTGGTTGCGCTGGGCGCCGTGGTCAGTACGGCTGTCCTCGAGCGGTGGCGGGCGCTGCCGCCGCGACAGCTCCGGACGCCGTACTTGAGCTCGGCGAGCTATTTTACGTTGATGGTCCAAGCAAACGACGTCGAGTGCGAGATTGATGCTGCGTTTGCGCTCATGGCCGGTCTCATCTCGGTGCGCTGGCGACAACGGACCTATTTTTTCGATATCAAAAGCTGGCGATTCCACACGTGCTAGTCAACGATACCATATATACAAAAATGAACCAACGCATCTACGGACGCAACGAGTGTAGTACGCGTCGTACCATAGACGACGTGTGGCCAAGAAAAGGTATCGAAGACCCAGCCTTTCGCATTGTGGACGATGTGAGCCGGTAATGGAGAGATCATTTCGAAAGTATCAACTTATCGACCCCGCGGCCGTTGCGGACAAAACCGATTTCGTGAAGTCTGAAAATATGGCCATGCGACCGGCCGCGGGCTTGGCCAAGCGAAGCGAGGCGAGCGAGCCGTTTGGGAAGAAGAAGCTCGGGCGCAACGTCGAGATGTTCATTGCGCGCGAGGACCAGCTCCACAACGCAGTGCAGCACGTCAAGGCGTCCGACCACCTCAAAGGTCGCGCGGTCTGGGAAGACCGCCAGGGCAAGCGCGGCATGATCAACCAGCGCTCGCGCACCGACAAAAAGTACATGGCTCGTCGTTCGTATCTGAATCTGAATCTGAATGCTAGGATCCAAGAAGAAATGGAGCTGGCGAACCGCGAACTCTTGGCCGTGCGCTCCGAGCGGATTCGCCACTACTACGCAAAGTGCTACATGGAGTACGATCTCGTTTTTGGATCGTGTTTAGTCGAATCTAATGTGCCACGTAGATGGGAGCACGAGCTGAACGCCCGTGGTCTGGCCATTGTTCGGGAGCGCGACTAAGTAAACCATGGAATGCACGAGACGACCGAGGCAAGCCTTCAACAAAGAGTTTAGGGTATAGATCTTATCTCCACGTGCTACATAGTACGCAGCAGTAGTAATATCGAGACATTTACAAATTCAGAGTGTACAATCTCGTCATTGCACACATCCTAGAATGGGGCAGAGAGTAATGATAGGGTCCCCGTCATCACGGAAGTCTAGTTATGTGTCTAGCTGCAGTGTTGACGCTCGTTGCGACGCGTATAAAGATGCACTCGAGGGATTAGTTGGGTGCTCCACCGACGACTCTCACTAAAACCTTCTTAGCTGCTTCCATGTCCCTCCATTTCGCGCAAGATTCTGACATCCCGTTACGACCTCCTTGTACGTGGCAGAAATGAACGAGAACACGACCGTCTTCGAGTCGGATGCATTTTTTATGGTACTCTAGCCCAGAGGGTGGGGCCTGGGGTGGGGTCTTATAGAATCGTTATTACTCTTGCAACACGACGACTTAGAATATTTGATGCGGATTGAGGAGGGATGTCCATGTCGACTCCATCGTGCGGTTGGTGCTTCGGTTGAAGTTTGTGGCGACATGGGCCACGGTTCAACCGCGCGATCTTTTGATGCGTATCCGGATCACCATTTGGTTGGTGCCCTACCCGTATCCGGATACGCATCCGGACAGGCTTCGATGAAAGCAAGGTCATTTGCAATATCTTCGTTTGGACCAGCATGGACGCTACCACGGAATCGACGCCTGCGCCCCGCGCGTGCTACGGCTGCGGCGAGGTCGGCCACCAGCGCCGCGACTGCCCCACTGGCGCTAGCTCGGCGCCGCGCGGCAACGCCATGTGCTATGGGTGCAACAAGCCCGGCCACTTGAAGCGCGACTGCCCGACCAGCTCGCACTCGGTGCGCGCGTGCCACAACTGCGGCGGTACCGACCATTTGCGCCGCGACTGCCCCGAAGCCGAGCGCCCGCGTGCGTGCTTCAACTGCGGCGAGACGGGCCATGTGCGCAACGATTGCCCGAAGGAGCTGCAAGACACACGCAAGTGCCACAACTGCGGCGGTTCCGGCCACTTGCGTCGCGACTGCCCCGAAGGTAACGACGCGACGACCGACAAGTGCTACCATTGCAACGAGTCGGGTCACTGGGCGCGTGACTGCCCCACGAAGCAGGCGTAAACCGAAGCTCGACGCGGCATGGGCGGAAGGCGTGCGCTTATTTATTTGCTTTGACTCGCTGGACGGGAAAAGTGAGTGAGTGAAAGGGCTTCCTCGTGCGTCTCGCTACAGAGCGTGATGCATGCAGGTGGCCTTTCGTAACCAATGATGGAATACAACACGAGTGTGTCCGTCCCTCTTTCTCGTTGCGTTGCCTGCTGCCGTGCATGCACTCTTGTGGTCGCAGTCGACCATGCATCTGTGCGCACGAGGCTGCTACATGAGCAAAGCCCTTCACGTCAACTACAAGGAGAGGCCCAAAGCCGGGACCGCCATGCGGCTCTTGCCAGCGTCTCGTCATGTGGCGTCGTGGTGGCGCCCGTCGCCCGCAGCCATGGCACGTCGACCGCCATCGATGGCATGCTTTGGCCCTTCGTACATGTTGCCTGCGCCCTCCGCTCGTCCACTGGCAGCGGCCATTGCGCCGCGATGCACGTGCCCCAAAATGGCCTCTGGGCGCGGGTACCGGGGAAGACTGTATTGTTGGAGGGTGTTATATCAAGCGCGTCCATGGCATCGCATCGCATCGCATGGCGTCGGCAACCGCGTGGCTTAGTGCCACTTGCCTTCTGCCTTGAGCTTCTCTTCCCACTGGATCCGATCCTTTAACCGCATGTCCCGGGCGTCGAGGGCGCGGTCCCAGTCGTCGCGCAGGATGAGCTTCTTCTGCGTCCCGCGGGCGTACCAGCGGTTGACACCGCCGATCGCGAGGCCCGAGATCGTGAACATGCCAGTGATGATGGCGAGGCCCGGCAGCACTTGGTACGGCATGGCTGCTGTCGGCGAGATTTCCAGACCACGAATACGCCACAAGTCAGCGGTCCAAAGCGTATTTTATTGCCGCGCAGGGATTCTTTTTTGGGTATATTTTTAATACACACTGCATTGACATTCAATGATCCAGTACACACGCATTAAAATAGACACATCGGGAATTAAAAGAGAGCCCTGTTCGTATTGAAATACACGATCGCGCCTCGGATTGGTGGATTCCATCACGCCATGCGAGTGGCTGAAATACATTTTTCGAGAGCGGTGATTGGTCGTTTAGCGATGTCTTTCAACCAATCCAACGACGCGATCGCGTCGGGCACAAATGTTCGATGGCACGAGCCACGACGGTGCCAGGATGCGAGGACCTCGCACAGATAGTACCAACGCGGTCTACGTACGTATATACAGAAAATAGTCAAAAGGCTGGTGGCGGCAGGAGGGTGGTCGGCCGGTTGATACTAACGTTATCAGTACTACGGCGCGGCAACCCATTTTGAACTTGACGGCAACGGACGCCGCGCATGCATGTTGTTTCTACCTAGCAAGCATCATAGGGAGTATGAGTACGATTGCCTGACTTATATCTTTCCAAGAGACGAGACGACGAGCCAACGCGTTGGTGTGAAATGTTCCTCAAACGCGTGGTAGGCTGCCACGTCATACGAGCTCCACCACACACGCACCAGCAGTCACGAAACGTCCTGAAGAATAGTATGCCCACGCCGTGCGATCAGTGCCTCGGCACCAACACGATGCAGCTCTTGCAGCGTGAGCTTATCGTCTGCGGCGACTGCGAGCACGTGGCGAGCAGCAATAACCCGACGTCCCAGCCCACGCTGGCCATCTATGAGCGCCCCAAGCTCCACATCTTTCTCTCTTGTCAGCTCAACGCCCTACAACAGGTTGTCTTACACCGCGCGTAGATGGACACGATCGCTACCAGCAGCTCGCGATGCGTCTCAAAGATCAGTGTACGAACATCGAGAAAGGTCGGCTGAAGGCGATTCTTTCGGTAGTGCAATCCCGCGGCCACTTGGTGTGGGTCGACGTCGAGAAGCTCACCCCAGGTAGACATGAGTTCACCTACACTTGCATAGTCGAGATACCGGTATAGGATGCGACTGGGAAGAAGGCATTGCGAATGGCTTGACGTGGGCCAAAGAGGCGCAGGAGAACGGACGGGTCTTGCTGCTCATGACGCCGCATGCGCTGCGCCGTCCCGACGGCTATTGCCTCAACGAGATCGCCCGAGGTAACCTCGCATTGCGATGTGTATATCCTCATATCTCGTCGCAGCGACCCAACTCAAGCTCCATATCTTCCCGACGCTGGTGTGCGAGAGCGAGCCGCCGCCGGCCATCAGCATGCTGCCGTACTTTGACATGCAAGACTGCATGCCATCGCTCGAGATTGCGCAGACGCTCGATAGCAAGAGCCCCGAATGGCTTGCAGCCGTCAACTCGCGCCTGAACTCGCCGCAGTTCCGCGCCAAGTCGCTTCAACTCTTCACGCTGCTCGAAATGGTAGAACGGATTGTAACACTATTTCCGTGCCATATGACGTGGCAACGTAGTGTGACAGCATGACCAACAACATGGTCACGGTCGTCGCCGGGGTCGAGAACCTCGGGCTCTTTGAAGCGCACGCCAGTAGCACCAAGATCGGGCACGTTCCGACGTACCGCAAGATCTTGTCGCCCAAGCACACGAGTGCGTCGGAGCAGTCGTTCCAGGAAACACCCAAGCACCGCGGGTCCGGGTTTGGCACACCGCTCGTGCCCGCCGACGAGCCGCGGGGCGCATCGCCAGCCGAGTCGACCAAGTGCACTTCTATTTCTCTTGGATTTTCGTTGTGGAGCGATGTCAACCAATAGGTATGTGTTTGTGTTTGACGCCACGAGCGCGCCCTTGGCAATGAAGCTCCACGCCGACTTGACCGCCGACGGTACGCGCCATGCACCGTATTGTCTCATTGTGGACGCATTGTTTTGGACCAGGGTTTCTCATTCACGCGCACTGTGCACCGTCGCCGCTGCTACCCCACGCACGCCGCGACGCCATCACGTGGGCGGAGACAGGCAAGATGCTATTGTTCCTCACGCCGCAAAGTGTCGGTCGTCCTCATGGTATACTCTATCTTGCTATCGATTTTGATATCGATTGCAATGCGAGCAAACGACTCACTACGATAAGGCGTGTGCTTGAACGATATTTCGGCGGCCATGTCGTCCAACGTTGGCTTTGTCCCGCTCATGGTTCGGCAGTGCGAGATCCCTTTGAGCATTTGCCGTATCCAATGGCTCGATCTCTCCGACTGCCTCATTGACGTCGACGGTGTGGGCAGTGTGAACGACGCCAAGTACCCGCAACGGCTCGCGCAGATCGCGACTGCTCTGCGTGGCAAGCTCGACCACGACGGCCTCCAAGCGCGCCTCTTTAGCATCTTCTCGCCGTTTTCGTTTCAAACCAAGTACCATTTGCATGACAATATTCATGCATATGACAATATTGTGTCCAGATTAGCAAGTACACGCAAGGCTTTGCCGGCCGCGAATGGGTCCTGGACCAGCTGGACCAATGGAAGCAAACGCACGACCAAGTGTTTTGGGTCACCGGTACGCTATGGAATCGATGCATGTGGATTTATCAATCGTGGTACAAGGTCAAATTGGCACGGGCAAGAGTGCGCTGGCGGCGTACATCATCCAGAGCCGTCCCGAAGTCCGTGCATTCCACCTGGTCTGCAAGGAAGACGAGCAGACGCAGAGCCACCGCCGGTGCGTCCTGAGCTTGGCGTACCAGCTCACGACGCAGCTGCCAGAATACGCATCGTTCCTTCAGTACGAGATCTCCATTCCGCTCATACGGAATCGACACAATATCTCGTGAGCATAGGCAGGGAAGTCCACTGGAAGAAGTCGTACCGGTCTCGACCGTCGTCGAGCTCCTCGATATTTTGCTCGTCGCGCCGCTGCGTGCGATTGCCGAGCCAGCAACGACACCCTTGGTATACGTCCATACAAAAAATGACTCGTAAAAGAAAATGTGCTAGGTCATCCTTCTCGATGGCCTCGACTCGCTTGAAGACACGCAAGAGACGGACAACTGCCTCGTCTCGGCGCTGCCGGCACTCTTGCAGAAGCTGCCGTCGTGGGTGCGCGTCATCTTGACGAGCCGCGAAGACCCCGTCGTCATGCGCAAGCTGCAAGGGTACACCACGCACACATGTACGCAGTAAATGCCAAGGCATCTGTAGGTTTGCGCCTCAAATCGCTCTCGACAAGTGTGCCGACCACTCTCGCCAAGACATTATGAGTTACCTTCAAAAGGCGCTGTTGCCATATCTTCCCAGCGTCCGGCCGTCTCTCAACCGTGACATGCTATTCATTTCGACATGTCTAGACCACGGCGGGCGTCGTGCCGGAGGCTACGCTGCAGTTCATTGCCGGGCGCGCCGAAGGTACGATGCAAGGCGAGGCAAATGTGTCACCTGCGTTGACAGGGCTTTTTCTGTACGCAAGCCACATTGTGCATGCGCTTTCGCAGCACCGGTTGACGCTCGATAACTTGGAGGGTTTCCCGACAGGCATGGGCGGCTACTTGCGCCAGTTTTTCGAGAGCCAGTTTACGCCCGAGCACTACAAGGTGTCGCTTCGTTTTTGGACATCGTGTCGTATTGCGGATGGTCTAGGAACACATTCGACCGCTCCTCGAAGTACTCTGCGCTGCGTACGAGCCGTTGACGCTGGACATGCTTCGCGCCATCATGCAGTGGGATGTAAGTCCTCCTTCTCTTCTTGGAGTAGAAAGGAAACAAGACGTTGTCTAGTCGTACGTCCAGCATGAAATGCTCGCGAGCTTCAAGTCGCTGCTCTACGTCACCGACTCGAACGTTCTCAAGCCCTTCCACACGTCCGTGCTCGAGTGGCTTCAGGACAGCAACGCGGCCGGACCTTTTTTGCCCGAGTCGAGTAGGACCAACTCTGTCGTTGTATCCTCTTCCATGGGCGTAGGCACGGCCACGAGCGCATTGGTCTCTGGGCGTGGAAGGAGTACAGTACGGTGCTCAAGGCCACAACGGACGTCTCCAGCATCAAGTACACTCCAACTTGTCTTGAGCGGTCGATTGTTCATAGTTGACTAGCTTTGAGCTCGAGCCGAGCAGCGAACCCGATCTCGTCGACCAAGACCGCGGTCCGATCTACATCATCCGCCACGCGCTCAACCACCTCCGGGTACGACATTCCGCTCACTGCCCAAAGCATGCACTCCATCTGCGTGCAGGAAGCCAACACGGAAGACAGTATTCGCTGCATGCAGAATTTCTCCACCGATGAAAAGTTTCAGCTCGCGCGCCGCCTCATTACGTTGCGGCAGTCGGGGCTCGAGAGGTGCGGGGACTACTTGCACGCAACCTGAATGGCACGTTTTCATAGCTTTTTCCACGGCGATATTGACCGCGTGGCGGCGCAAGCCGTGCTTTTGCCGGTACGTTTCGCCTTGCTCGACATGAACAATATGACAATTTTCTCTGCAATATTAGGTGGGGACCCCGGGTGCATTCTTGATCCGGTACAGTGCCAACCAAAAGAGCTATTGCGCGTCCTTTATCGACAAGATCGTCGATGGCCAGCCGCAAATCAAGCACAACGTCATCTACCACCTGGAATCGGTACGCAGGAAGGTTAGCGTGAGACTTATGCGAGTAGGGGGCGTACTCGGCTGTGCAACCTAAGGACGTGCAGCCAACGACGCCCATTTTCTCGGATCTGCTCAGCTTTGTCGAAGCATACCAGCGCAAAGGCGTGTTACGCACGGCCATTCCCAAGGGGTCGGCGTGACCACGGCCCCAACGTCATCTCTGCATTTCCAAAAATCAATCCAAGCAAGTACGACGACGCGAGTCTACACATCAAATACCAATACATGTAGTATACTGCCTGCATGACCTTGTACCACAGGTCGCTCTACCAGCACGTACATCGCCATGGTGTTGACAAGGGCACACAACCCTTGGAGTTAGCATGGTGCTCGGCCCCTCGCAAGAACGATGGTCATTGTAGAAGTAGAGACCATCACTCCTGGCACCTTGCACCTCAGGTGGTTCTGGTCCAGCAAGTACGTGAAGCATCGTACGAAGCCTGCACAAACAAAGGCTCTATCCCCTTGAACACAAAAGATATTGTGTCATAAATGCGTTGGAATAGCTTATGGACGAGTTTGCATGTGTACTCTGGCTCCCTGTCACCACATCTAGGGTTGTACTGAGACGCTCGGTACAACCCCAGACCTTTGAGACAGGTCGCTTTTTACTATTTTTGAAACGGCGACGGCGCATTGTTCAATTGGTCATGGTGCAGTCGGTCATTGTAGTCGGCGGTGGCTACTCGGGCATTGAGTTTGCCCAAGCCCTCGCGTCCGAGCTCCCACCCCACGTGGCCGCAATCACCGTCATCGACAAGAACACGTTTACGTTCCACCACGATGCGATTCCGCGCGCTTTCGTCGAACGAGCCTTTGTGCCCAAGCTCTTTGTGCCAACGGACCGCGCCGTGCCACAGTACACCACCATCGTGCATGGGCTCGTCGACGCCGTCACCAGCAAGAGCGTTCATGTACGCAATCTCGTACACGGCCAGCTCGACGAGCACTCGTATCAACTGCACTACGATTACCTCGTCCTCGCCACGGGCAGCAGCTACCCCGCACCCATCAAGGTTCCTAAGGACGTTTACAGCAGCGACGCCATTGCTGATGCGATTTACGAGGCCCACGATCACATTGCTGCAGCGTCGAGTGTGCTCGTCGTTGGAGGCGGCAGCGTCGGGTGCGAAGTTGCAGGTGAAATCGCAGTGGCCTACCCGACGACCCAAGTCACTCTTATTGATGGCCACGAGCACTTGGTTGCTGGCGCGAAAATGACCTCCGAGTTTCGCAGTCGATTGAAGGCGGCGCTGGAAGCCATTGGTGTGCGCGTAATCTTGGGCGAGCGCCCCGTCGAACCGCTCCGAGCCCAGTCGTACACGCGGCAAACGACGCTTCTCTCAAAAGGCACGGTGGTCACAGCCGATGTACAGCTCCTCTGCGCAGGCATGACCCCGAACACAGATCTGATTGCGCAACTGGATCCAGATCTGGTGACGCCAGCCGGTATCAAGGTCAAGGCCTCGATGCAGCTCGACGACGATCGCTACACCAACATCTTTGTCCTCGGCGACGCGAGCAACCACCCGTCGCCAAAGACAGCCCACATTGCGGGCGACCAAGCCGAGTTCTTAGCCGCGGGCTTAGCCCAAAAGATGCTACACGGGACGCCGATTGGTGCGTTTGATGCAGGGCCCACGGAAGGTCTCATGATCCCGATCGGTCCCGAGGGCGGCGTCGCGCAGCTCCTCAACGGCGTCGTCGAAGGCGCATGGCTCGTGCAAAAGAAGAAGCACAAGGATTACAACACGCAACGACTATGGGTCCACTGGAATGCGACGCTTCCAACGATATAAGAGCTATGGACAACCCTGTGGACAACCTGTCCAATACACCATTTTTGAATATACATTTTTCCAAACCTTGGTTTGGATTGCACGTAAAGTCGTTCAGCTTTGTTTTGTGCCAACAAAGTACTATCTATCTATCTATCTATCTATCTATCTATCTATCTATCTATCTATCTATCTATCTAGAGATCGATCTATCTAGAGATCGATCCGGTCGTGCCTCGAGGAGTTAGGCAGCCTTTTCTGTGGTGTATCCAATCAAAATGCTTGAACCTTCCGTTTTTGCACCAATCCCCATCGCGCACATTAAAAACCAACGACGACAAACTAAAAAAGTGAATTTGACACTCTACATACAAATACACTGCTGTTTTAAAAGCGTACACATTTTATTTTAAAGGTGGCGTCGCATTTCGGAGCTGCCGCGAACGCGTCCGGAACACGGGACCGGCATCATGGACCCGCGAGCCTCCGAATTGCTGAAGCCGGACTTAGGCCCGTTACCACTCGACGCAGCCTTTGGCGACGAGAGCTCGCTGCACGAGCCGGCGGCGAAGCGGCCCAAGGCGACACCCTTCCACGACGCCCATGGCCCGCCCAAGCGAGGTAGACGACATGCAGCTTCCATGCGCTGAGTGTGATGCGGTAGTGCAATGCTTGGACCCGGAGCACATGCGGCAAAAGACCGCCAAGTGCGCGGTCTGCGCCATCTGCCGTTTCTGTCCCGCCGGCCGCGACGAGTGCTTTGCCAACCACCGCGTCTTGCGGCCGATGATCCAGCGGACTCGCCCGCCCCGCGCCAAAGGTAGTACTTACGACAGGTCGCTCGCTCCTTCACTAACGCGACAATCGACTAGTTTACCTCTGTGACGAGGAAGAGCACCATCAAAAGAAGACGCACCGCGGCCGATGCGAGCGCTGCCTCAAGTGCAAGTGGTGCCCGCCGCTCGTCGAGGAGTGCAAGGAGTTCCATGTTGACCCCGAGACGTGCACGACACCATGCTCCAGTATGTCTATCGACGAAGATGGTGTCTGATGCAGTGTACCATAGTCGAGCGCCAAGAAAAGACGGCCCGTCTTGAGTCGCTCCTTGCGATTCTTGGCGTCGACGAGCACAAGGCGCAGATTGTCAAGGCCAAGGACCTCCATGGACCCACGATCAAACGGCGACAGGCAAGCGACCTCCTGCGGCAAATCGTACACCTCATTGCCGACCTTGTCGTCGAGTCGTCGGACAAGGCCGATGGTGGCGCCGCGGTGGCCCAGCTCCTGGACGATCTCGCGAGCGAGCTCGAGGCCAACCCGATTCTCCAGCCGCATCCGGACGACGTATCGATGGACGCGCTGCAGGCTACGTCGCAGGCTGTCGACCTCTCGACGGAGCATGGAGCGTCGCTCGTTGACGCGAATCACCACTTGGCGTTCAACATTTAAGAGCGACCCGACTCAATCTACCTTTTTGTCTCGTACGCGACAGACCCTGTAGCGTTCGATGTCGCGACTGCCGAAACATACCACAACCCCACGACTCTACTACGTATTGTACAATATTGCTGTATGGACTACATCAATTGGCTACTCTATTCTCTGTAGTACATCATCATCGGCAGCAGGCGTACCAAGTGCAACCTCGCATGGCGATCTTGGTTGGCCATTTTAGCCAATCCCATCGCGTCATTTGAAACGGGCACTTTGGATTGGCTATTTTTCATGTCCGGGCGACCAGGCAAACGGCGCGTATTTTTTTCTATATTGAAATGCCACCTTTCGTTGAATGTTTTATAATGCATACAAACATAATGGTATAATATCCATTGTTAGAAATTGGGGGAATATTAATATCTTTAGGTTAGAACTCCGGCTTTTCGGCCGTCGACGCCAATTTGCCGGTCCGGAATTCGGAGATGGAATCGCTTGACCCGAAGCGGTACTTTGAGACCGAGCCGCCGGCGCCCACGTCGTACGTCGAGGCGCTAGCGCTCGAGGAAGACGACGACGACGACGACCATGACCACGGCGCCAAGGACGACAATGACGACGGCTCGCCCAAGGCGAAGAAGGCGAAGCTTGGCCCACCGCTGCGCCGCCAAGTCTACGCCAAGAAAGGTACGACGAGCATTTCCATGGACATGGCCAACCACCTCGATTCAGTCAAGTGCGTGGACGCAGAGCACGTGCGCCAGAAGACTGCAAAGTGCACAGTCTGCGGCGTCTGCCGCTTCTGCCCTGCTGGCGCCGACGAGTGCGCTGCCACCCACCGCGTGCTCCGCCCGATGACCAACAAGACGCGCGCGCCGCGTGCTAAAGGTATACCATCCATGCTCTTTACAAAGATAAGAACGGATTGCGGATGATGACAATCTCATCTAGTGCTCTTGTGTGAGAACGAGGAGCACCACCACAAGAAGACGCACCGCGGCAAGTGCGTGCGGTGCCTCAAATGCAAATGGTGCCCGCCTGTCATTGACGAATGCAAGGAGTTCCATGTCGACCCCGAGACGTCCATGACACCTACCAAAGGTACGGCGACGTATCACAAGGCGACTTTAGGACAATATGGTTAGTCGAACACACGGTGAAGCTCGAGTCGATTCTTTCGATTCTCGACATTGCCAAGGGCAAGCTCGTGCAAGTCAAGCCGCGCGACGTTGCGTCTTCGACGCCCAAGCGCCGGCTCGCGTGCGAGCTCATGACACACGTCGTGCACTCGGTGGCGCACCTCATTGTGAGGTGACTGAGTCGGCCCGAGGTGACAATCGAAGGACTTAGCACGCTGCTGGACGACCTGCGGCGCGACCTCCGCGGCCACCCGCCCTCCATGCAGCACTTTGCCACAAGCCGCCACAGCAGCGGCAGCAGCAGCGCGAGCTCCGAGACGTCGCAAGTCATGTCAATCATTCTATGACAACACGACTGGACGCTTCGACACGACGACCAAGACGATGGAAAGCAATAATTAGCTGAATACACAGTATATCCCACAGTGGTTCTTTGGCGCAGAGCGGTTTCTTGAGCGGGTCAGGACGCAACGATGCCGAGGCTGTCTCGGTGCACAGCGCAATGCAGTGGCATCCAAGCTACTGGCGCGCACTGAAACTCGAGCGACGATGCACGCTTGAAACGAGGATGCCCATGGCTTGAGATCAAGCGTCGGCGTATTGTAGTATTACTACTTTCTTGCTTCTTGTAATGTATGTTGGTATGCTCGACCTCGGAGCTAGACCTTGGACTTGGCAGCTACAACTGTCAACCTCGGGCCATGGGACCTTGGGTGCGTCTGCAAAGAAGCTCACCCAAGAGGTGCCAACACGAAATTGTGCTAGTACGTGACCATCGTGGACATACAAACGTCCAGTGACATGGATCAACGACCGCTCACAAAGCAACTCATACGTTAAATCCCACTCTTGATGGCAAGAAGAAAGATACCGGCTTGTACAAAGTGAGCGTCACAATCCAAACCTCGCTTTCCATGGCACCGGTCGGCTACCTCCTTGTGCTTTGTTTGCCCATGGTGCACGCAGCTTCGCCCTGGCGCGCGCTCTCGTTCAACAGCAGCTACCTCCTCGTCCGAGCGTCCTCGTCCTCGGGGCTTCCGGAATGCCTCGCGAACGACGGCTGCGTCACAGCGAGTCGGATCGCCGATCTCTTGCCACTGGTCGTCGATGGTAGCACCAACGCGACGACAACCGCAGCAGCAGCGTGCACCGGTGTCGATGAACCGTTCGACTGGTGTCGACGCGCAGCGGCTGCGCTTTACAACTGCCACGACAGTCGCACGGTCTGGACATGCGCCGAGGAAAATGCATCGTGGTCGCTCAGTCACGCGGCGTGCGGCAGCCGCGTCGTCCACGAAGCGTCGTTCGGATCGATCGCGGACTGCGACGCGGCGCTGAGTGTGCTCTTCTTGCCCTCGACGGCCGCCGACGGAGCATGTGACATGGGCGCCATCACGGCTCGTGGCGCCTCGTGCTTGCTTTTGAATGGCACCGCGGGGCCCACGAAGCCGACTCGTCACGACGACGACGATGCATCCCCGGCAGGTAGCGCGACAGATTCTTGCTAGAAATGGCTCATAACAACTTGTCATATGTGGCGTAGACCGACTCTTGCTGGTCGCCGGCGTGGTGGCGCTGGCCGTCTTTGCGGGCGCCGTCGGCTGTGTGTGGCGGTCACGAAAGGTGGCACGAACCCAGCGCCGCCAGCGACACTTGGCCGACACGGTCTGCTCGAGCTGCGAGATCGATGACAATAATGTGTCGAGCGTCTTCGTCCGTCAGTTGTAGTCGTTTAACGGCAAAACTATCGTGCGATTATTATTTCGACTTGTGTAGTCTTTCTTGCGTCACATAGAAGCACTCTCATTGCGATGGCGTGTGCGATGGAGAAGCGAGCGCTGACAATAATGTGCATCATTTTTTGTCCTGCGGTAATACATTTAGCATCGCAATGGAAAAACACAACGGTTATTGGTTGAAATTCCATGCATTTCGCAGCATTTTGACCAGTCATTGCAATGTACCTGTCACAAGACGATTTGGATTGGCCAAAATAAGGGGCAAATTGGGATCGACCAATACAATCGATACCCTAACCACTGCAGGTCAGTGGCGGACCGGTGCGACGAGGTTTTCGCGTTGATGTCACTACGGTACCGGTAATGTAGTGTGCGACGACAGCCATACTCATCTTGCGCAGATTGTCAAGAGGACGCTGCTACATGCATTTTACGAGCACTTGGATGGTAGTAGCTCAGAGAATCAGCTGGAGGAACGCGATCAAGCACGCTACTGAACATCATGCGACATCCAGAAACCCACTTTGCAGCACCTTAAACTTGGCCATTCGACCCAAAATATCAATTAAAGTGTTATCTACCTGGTAGAGGTAGGTTAGACGAATAGGACAATGTTGTACGAGGGCGCGTCGACCACTCGTCACCTCGGACGAGGATGCGTCGAGTTCAACCCATCTACAAGTCGGTACCACGTCTAAACGCACCCAACAATACGTCGGCACGTCGTCGTTGCGCGCACCAACCTTGTCAACACCGTCGACGACTGCACAAGCAAGAAATACTCTACCACATGTGCATATGATGGGCTCGAAGGCACCGACGTGTTCAAGCACAAGGCTACTGCATGGAGGACCGCCGAGTATTGAAACGTCTCGGGTGATATATCACAGCTCGAACCTTGTCTCTGCAGAAAGGAAAAAAGACCCGCGGTCGACAACAGTCGTCTCCTTGCAGCTCGAACCGTGCTTGAACCAATGCACTCGCTACGCCGTCAACTTGCACGCAAACGACAGCCACACGCGCGCCATAGATAGGGCCGCGCGTACAAAGTTGCGTGGGCTTAGCGCCGTCACATCCGGATACCAAGGATTTCCCGGATGCTTGAGCCAAACGCCATTTCGAGACAAGCAGCTCCTTCGTTGCTCGGCTCCATCCCACGGCCGCGCATGATGGACGTCCTTCGCGCCGAGTCGCCGGGCAACGGCGTATCCATCGACATACCGACCGAGCGGACGCCGCTTGTCTCGCGCAGCAGCTCACCCCGGACGCCGGCAGCTACCATGCGTGCAGCCCCCACACGCTCGAAACGGCTTGCTACGATGGCCACCAGCACCCGTCGCCGGTCAAGGAGCCCGAGGGCTCGCCGCAGCAAGCCGCGCGTGACTCGATTCACTTTGTCGAAGACGTCGACGATGAGATGTGCATGCTCGTGGACGACTCGCACGACGCGGCGCAGACGCACCTGCTCTTCCTCGACGCGTGTCTGGCCGGCGACATGTTCCAGGTCCCGCGCTTCGTACTTAGCATGGCCGACTCGCATGCGCTGCGCGCGCTCTTGACGGCGCAGCACCCCAAGTACCACATGCACGGTCTCGCGATGGCCGCGTTCTACGACCAGACGCTAATCGTCCAGCACCTTCTCGACGTCATGGAGCGCCATGGCATGCTCGACCTCGTCGACAGCCCCGCGGGCCCCGAGCGTCACAACGCAACGGCGCTCATGCTCTCGCAGTCGGTCGCGTGTGCGACGCTGCTCCTCGACGCGCAGGCGTCGCTCGCCAAGCGCAACTCGACCGGTACACACGACCGCCTCGTCGTCTCTGCGTCATTGCTGTCGTAGGTATGACACCACTGCACTACGCCTCCAGCGCGGGCCAGGCCGGCAACATTAGCCTGTACCTCTGCCGCGGCGCGAACGTGAACGAGCTCGACCATCGGGGTGCTACGCCATTGCACTGGGCCGTGTACGAAGGGTTCCAGTACGCTGCGCTGCTGCTCGTCGGGCAAGGCGCTGACATGACCATCCAAGACTCACAGGGCCAGACGTCGCTCATGATTGCAGCTGCGCTCAACGACGCGTTTCTCGTCAAGCAGCTCGTCATCGAAGGTCGTCGTCGCTCGGATGCGAAGGCAAAATGTGTATCTGGATACGTAGGCGCGCCGCTCGAGCCGCACGACCGAAAAGGCCGGTCAGCGCTCACCATCGCCAAGCAAGCGAGCAACCGCGAGGCCATGCACGCGCTTAGCACGGGCAAGAACGACCGATGGATCGCCTACATCTCCACGAACGGCGGCACGGTGGTGTTCTTCTGGACCTTTCTGCTCTCGACGGCCTTTCTGGGCATCTGCTTTGGTCTTCCGAGCATGAGCAACCCAACGCTGGCGCTAAACGCCACGCTGCTGCTCTTGCTCGCGACGTGCGCACACCCGCGTGTGGCTCGCCGACCCGGGGTACGATAAGAGACGGATCGATGGCGTCCTTACGAAATGGACTGGTAGGTTCATTCCCAAGTCGGACGCGCCGGCGTACTCGCTCCTCGCATTCGACTCGGATGCATCGCCATGCCCGACGTGTGTGACGCTCAAACCGATACGCTCCAAACACTGCTCGACGTGCCAGCGCTGTGTGGCCCGCTTCGATCACCACTGCCCGTACAACGCGTTTTCCTCATTTTTTAAATCCCTGAAAATGGCCTTTTTAGGTGGATCAACAATTGCGTCGGCCAGCACAACCACCGCAGCTTTCTCGCGTTCCTCTTCTGCCTCAGTGCGCTCTGCTGGCTGCTCGCGGCCGCATCGGGGCTCATCTTGATTGGCTACCGTCCTCTCGTACAGAGCACTTGATAGATTGATGGTTTGATGCATGAGGGAACTAGGTGCCCGACGCGCCGGTCCTTGCAGCATGGCATGCATACGAGCCATCGTGGGTCTCGACGTTCCGGGAAAACCACGCTGGCTACACGCTCCAGCTGGTGCACATTTACATTTTTGTACTCGCCTTGACGTTTGGCGCCCCGACGTCGATTCTCCTTGGGTACGTCCTGTATCAAGAGGACACATAACAGAGCGTCGGCGTAGGCTCCAGCTGCGCAACATTGCACAGAGCTTGACGACCAACGAGGTGTTCAATAAGGACAAGTACGCGTACCTCAAGGACGCATCCGACGCCTTTTACAATCCCTTTGACGATGGCGTGGTCCGCAACTGCGTTCGTTTCTGGCTCGGCAACGACGAACCTACCGTCGACGGCCGCAAAGGCTCGTTCGTCTAGTCCCTCTGTATCTGTCATTAACTACTATAAGCCGCCGCCGTGTCCTTGATGTTGCCTTCTCACCTACCAAGGCACTGTCGTGTGCGCACCATATCGAGTCGCTGGAGAGGCATCTCTGCAAGCGTCCGTCCAGTCGAAACACATACAACGCTGCTCGCACCCGTGCCGAATCGAATGACAATAGTAGTAGAGTTCAACCATTGTATCTTGATATCCAACGCGATATCTGACCTCCTTTGATCGGACCACCAAAATGACCGAAATGTTGTTGATCTTGAATATCCTAATGCTTGGTCGCAGCCACGGGGCCGCAGCGGGGAAGTTCCGTGGGGTCGCCTGCGTGGGCCAACTTCAACTTGAAGCTGGACGACGACCCGAGCGATCGGTCGAAACGATGCGCGCGCTCCTTGCGACGCGTCGTGGATTTTATTTGTTTTTCTTTTTTCTGGCTATCATCCGCAGCGATCAGTTCTGATAGCTGCGATCACGATCTCGACCTTGAAACGCCGCCGGATGCGCGGACGAGCAGCATCCTGAGAGGATGATGACGGCACGCTCGCAGTCGCCAGCGCTGGCGTTCGAGCCGACAGGCGTGCACGGTGGCCCGCGGGAATTGGGCCGTGACATCTGGCGGTCCATTTAAACCATAGCCAATCACAGCGCTTGCATTTCATCTGTCGCCGATCCATTCCCTTAAAAAGTACATTGGTCGTCGGATCCAAGGACCAGAGCGATCACTTGACACCCGACGGCAGTTTTCAATTCGACTGCTTCCGTCATGGCGGCCGTGCTAAGCAACCGCGACCTGATGGCGCTCGTGAGTCAGTTCCAGGACGGCGTGTATGCCTCCATCTCGCGCGCCGCGTCGCACCTCAACACAGTTCCCTTCTCGCCCAGCATCTTGTGCCGTACAAAGATCGCGGTCTCGGTCGCAACCCTTTGCCAGCTCGGCCAGGACGTGGCGCCCGTCCTCGACGAGCCGACCAAGCTCTTGGCCTGCCAACCGCACTTGCATTTGCTGGTCGCCGCCTACGCGTGCTGCGTTGGCCACGCACCGACGCTCGCCGCCTATGTCGCGCACGCCCATCCCAGCGCCAAGCTGCGCGGGCGGCTCCTTGATCTCGCCGCCGCCTGCAACCATATGTCGCTCGTGCATCTGTTGCTGCAAGCACCATGCTCGCCGAGTGACGGCCTCGTGCTAGCCGCCGACTATGGCCATCGCGCGCTCCTCCCGGAGCTTTTGCCCGTGTGCATGTCGTCCGTGCCAACGGCGCTCGAGGCCGCGGCCGCGGCCGGCCACCTCGCTATTGTGGGCTTCCTCCACACACACAGTCGACTTGATCTGCGGGCGTCGCGCGCGCTGGACAAGGCCGCGATGCACGGCCATCTGGAAGTCGTGCGCTACTTGCATGCCGACGGCTACAGCGCGACCAGTGCGGCCATGGACCTCGCCGCGACGCACGGCCATCTCCACATCCTCTCGTACCTTCACGCGGTCCGCACCGAGCGCTGGTCTCGCAAAGCGCTCGACGGTGCGGCGGCGAACGGGCACCTGGGTGTCGTGCAGTTTCTACATGCTCACCAGCAGCACGACGACGATGATCTTTGCTCGCCGACCGCACTCCGAGGGGCGAGTGCCAACGGACATCTCGAGATGGTGCGGTACCTATACGCCTCGGCGTCGCCCGCAGCGATCGCTGACGCCATCGACTACGCAGCAGCCAACGGCCATCGCGAGATCGTCTCCTTTTTCTTGGCCCGCGACGGCGCAACCTTTAGCGCGGCCGCCATCACTGAAGCCGCGCGCAACGGCCATGGCGCTATTCTGTCCATGCTGCTAGAATGCGCTCCGTCGCTTGTTTCGGAAGCCGCACTCGTCGCCGCCGCGGCCAAGGGCCATGTCCATGTCGTGCACGTGCTTTGGGCGGCCGCGCCACAACTACCCGTCGACAAGGCGTACGTGGCGGCGGTGACAGCCGGACATGCAGTGCTCCACGCACTCTTCGCGCCACTCGTGTCCTCATCCACCCTCGCGATCGCGCTCGAGCGCGCGGCGACCAACGGACACCTCGCCCTCGTGGAGACGCTTCTGGCGGTCGTCGCCCGATCGAGTCTGTCGGTAAAAGCGCTGGATGCTGCCGCGGCCGGTGGTCATGGGGCGGTCGTCGCTGCGTTGCATGCGGCGGGGGCTCCGTGCTCGACGCAGGCACTCGACAGCGCGGCGCGCCAAGGCCATCTGGAGGTCGCAGCGTTTCTGATCCAACATCGCACGGAAGGCGCGACGATCGAAGCGTGGGACGGCGCGGCCCGGCGCGGGCACCTCGAGGTGCTCCAGCTTTTGCACCGCCATGTCTTTGTCCGTGGCGGGTCCTTCAACGCGCTGCCAGACGCAGCGCGGCTCGGCCAAGCCAAGGTCGTCCGCTACTTGATCGAGCACGATGCGGCGCATTGCGCCCTTGTCGCGGACGCGCTCGCCGCCGCCACCGCGCATGAGCATGAAGCGGTGGCCGCGTACCTTCGCCAAGTGAGCGTCAGTAGAAGCATCCTACACATTGACGAGTCTAGTATTAGACATTAATGTCCACGCGATTGTCCTTTATATGCTGATCGCCAGTCGTCGATACGTCCGACATACCATAGTAGCACTTGGGTGCTGGTTGGCATCCGCGTACGACCGTACGTATTCGCATCGGGGTGAGCTGGTGTCAGGTGGGGCTAGGGAAGGGGTAGGGTAGTTGCGCTGACCCAGTTTGCACCCAGCAGTGCGCCGTGTGAGTCGATCAAAGCGCGCTTGCTACACTGGATACTGTGGCAGAAGACCATCTCTTGCGTTTGAATGGGTCGCTGGACCCTTGGCTACAGTACGCTGGACTGCAATATCATTTTTCGCCAGGTTCGAACGCGCGGCAGAGATACGAGTGCCACTTGAAGCTCACGTCCGGTTCCTTGGACGGTCCAGGGCACATAGCTGAGGCTGGTTAGCATCAGCGACCAACCATTCGTGTCTTTGCACTCGCCAAGCGGCTAAGTCGGACAAGGTTGTCG